TTTCTGGTTCCCCACTGTGTGGGATTGTGCACCAATAAATCAACCATCCCACGTGAATACTGATGAAGAATGAACCTTTGATATTGTTACTGATGAATACATATTGTACAGTCCTAACACAAATGTCAGCTCCCTTGCAGTCTTCAGCATACTTACTAATGATAAATTGAAATATACAGAAATGTCAAATTATTCAAAATAAATTTTATTCTCACATATTTTAAAAAAAGGCTAACGGAATCGGGTGGTCTGACTCACTGATTTGCTTGACACATGTCATTGGTTCCCAATTGCCCAGATCGATGCTCATGCTGTTGATCACTGAATTTTCTGGTCCAGACCTGATTATTTACAGACCACCGCCATATAGCTGGAATAGTGCTGAGTGCCGCGTAAAACTTCACTCACTCACTCTCACTCACCATTGCATACAAAAGCAACATCCAAACTTTAATATTTAGAATTTTTTAAATGCTAGTGAGTAACATGGGAAATCAGATCCTTTCTGAAGTCTTCACTGATGTGGATGCAGAACTGTCCTTGAGTTACTGCTCCCTGATGGGGCTGAATGGTGGTGGACTATTGACCTTAGTGGATTTTGGTACATCACTTATGACGACTACCGCCTTCTTCGGCTGACAGGATTATCCCTCAATTTCCCAGTAGACACACCAATGTTGTCAGTTTCTTCTTAATCATTGGGTAATTATGACTGAAGTAAAGGTCACTGTTCTGCCTGTCTCAGTAGTGGAAAACAGTTCAGTCATCTCCACTCTGGTTTACTTGTTTGGTCTTGGAGACTCAGAATGAGGTTTTAGGTTTTGTTTTCATTGGCATCTTTCATATGTTTGCTGTCATACTTGTAAAATGTCTGGATGAAAGTGATTTTGATCATCTGTGGCCATCTTAGGGTATGTAGAGTTGTCTCCCCTTTTGGGGTGAGGATCAGATAATTGTTTCTATGTCACAGATTCATTGCGATTGTCATTCTTGGTTTATAAGAATCATACCCTTCTGAATTGTGTCTAAGCTGAACAACTGGTCAACAAATATTTCATGGCAATAAGTTAAAGAAGACAGCTTTGGTCTCTTATATTTGGAGTGATAAGAATAAATGGTTTGTTGCTCCTACAATCAAGGCAGTCTGGCCCAGCGGGGTTCATGGCTGTAATTTTGCTGACTGTAGCCTACAGCATGTTACAGTCAGTGCCTCCTGTGATCCCTGGTTGGTGGGCTAGTCTAGTGGTTAAGGCATTCGCTCGTCACGGCGAAGACCCGGGTTCAATTCCCCACATGTGTACAATGTGTGAAGCCCATTTCTTGTGTTCCCCGCTGGAATATTGCTAAAAGCATCATAAAACCATACATTTATATTCAATACATATGAATACATCATCAGCCTCTAAAACTTTCTCTCGACATTTGTCAATATTGGTTTTGATAATTGTTTTCTTTGCTGTTTCTGAGAATGCAATCCTAATATTTGATTTTCAAGTTGGTCAGTTTATGTAAATAACCATTGTTGTACTTCCATGAAAGCTATAAAGCCAGTGCAAGAGACAATTTACAGGCATGAACTCATAAAAATGTAAAATAAAATGTAATGTTACTTTTTGAATGTTTTTCGTTTTCATAAAGCTGTTGATGAAATATTTTTTCAGGGGCTAATAAATACAAACACAGAAGATATCAAATTGGGCAACAGATTCCGTGAAATGTTAATTGTGTCCATATCTGACAGCTTAAGAGCATCAGTTTTGTAATGTATTTCTCTGCTGTCATATATCCCCAGAATCTTTTCAATTGTCTATCATTGGTGCCCATGGCTATCCACATGATCACCATGGCAACAGCGAATATCCCCTGTGAGTACCACCCTTAGATCTTGGCTGCAAATTTCCGCAGTCTCCACCAGCAAATTAATGTTTCACAATGGGCAGGTTTTGGTTTGCAAAAACACTGCCATTGTATTCTGTGTGCCAGTAACCTGGTTGTCACAGCAACCCTATATTAGCAGTATCATTTGCTGTAGATGACAGGAGGCAGACGACACTTTCAGTGATAGCAGCGAAAGTCTACAGGAAGATTTAATAAACAACAAGCTGCCTGTCTTTCCAGGTCATAAAAAGCTTTTCTATTATGCATTTCCCTGTCTACCTGTCAGATCTCATCATTCCAGGTATTTGCTTCCAAATGGCGACCCTCGCAAGCATTGTATCAAATTTGCTATTTTGGGTGAATCTTAAAACCAATCATTTTGCGATTACACATCCATCATGTCTTCTCTTTATGGAACAAAATGATATTGATTATTATTCTATTTTTTATTCACACTATTTCCTGATTTAATTGGTCATTTCCTTGTACTTTGTCAAATCAGATTGATGTGGAATTTCATTCAGTGGGATTCAGCGGTCTTGTTGAAAGTAATGCGGGTTTTATGAGGAGGTCTTATTAGATAAGTTTCATTTCATTCTGTCTCACTTATGTGAGGTACATAGAGAATACTACACGAGGTCTCATTACATACGAATTATACGAAACGAGTGTCCTTCCTATGGTATCTGACCGAGCGAAAGCAAAAGGTCAGATAACATAGGAAGGTCACGAGTTTCGTATAATTAGTATGTAATGAGACCTTGTGTGGTATTTTATTTATTACCCACGTCTTACATGCTTTAAATTGACAAAATAGAGTATTTTTGTAATATTTTGGTTTCAAACCGAAACCGGTTTCATAAAGAGGTTGCGGAATAGTTTTGTACTGTAGTACAATCTTTGCATGACGTCACACTGTAATGACGTCACTGCCTTGGTAACCGACGTTAAGATGAATGTCAGCTGTCATGGCCTCGTACAGCCTCCTACAGTAGCATCCCATTTCTTGGTTTGCAGTTGCTTCATTCGGCTAATATCAGTGGTGGAAACATTGCGTTTATGTTTTTCGACGGATATAATGTCTCAGTCCGACTCACAATTAAACAGCGACACGGCAACGTTCGCGATGTTTACATTCCCACAATGCATTTAAGTTGTAGAATGAATGAATTGTAGTGTTTGTTATGAATGAAAAAATAGTTACGTCAGAATGTGACCTAATAGAGGTCATCGGTTATCCAATCAAATCGTTAGAATCTCAGGTCAAGTCGTTACGACACAGGTCAACGCGATACAACACTCGTGTGACGTACGAGATTAGTATGCAACTACCCATACGTTGACCACGTGGGTAATAAAAGCCACTAAGTGGCTGAGAATGGTTTCCCATCTTGAGGAAAGGTAATGGTAATCTCAGGCTCAGTAATATGGTTCATTGCATTCCATCATACCTCAACGGGGCGGTGGGGTAGCCTAGTGGTTAAAACGTTTGCTCATCACGCTGAAGACACGCGTTGGATTTCTCAACATGGTTATACTGTGTGAAACCAATTTCCGTGTCCTCTGCTGTGATATTGCTGGAATATTGCTAAAAGCTACGTAAAAGCATACTCACTCACTCACCGCTTTGGTCCCCCAAATGTGCCGAAGAATTGCTTCCCTTTAGTTTCCATGCCATGATTTTAGGTTAAAATTCAAGATTTACATAGATCTATTGCTAAAAGCGGCATAAAACTAATCTATCACCTACTCACTCACTTATATCCCAATGGTCAATGTGTTGCTCATGATGTCAGTCACTGGTTTTTCTGGTCTGGTTAGTTACAGGTCGTCGTCATAAAGCAGGAATATTAATGAGGGGGCGCATCAAACACCAGAATACACTCATGTACTCTAGGGTATTGTTCATATACTTGTCAAACACATATAATGTGGCTGAAAAATGGCTTCGCATTGATGTAAGTGTGAGTTGCAGAAATCTCTCAATCCCATGGGATTCCTCTTGTATTGATCAGAAACATAACGCTGTTATGAGTTTAGTGATCAGGGGATTTTGATTTGATGGATGTTACCTGACAATCTATTATGTAGATATAGATTATGTGGGCATTGTTCCTGTACTGAAGCAATTGATTAACGATATTTGTAATGGTTATTAATAGCACTGTGTTTTTAGCTTGATGTTTAGAGAAATAGTACCAGTGTATGATTGAAATAATATTTATTCTGAGTGTTTTCTTTTCACAATTGGGGCGGTGGGGTAGCCTAGTGGTTAAAGCGTTTGCTCATCACACCGAAGACCCAGGTTCGATTCCCCATATGGGTACAATGTGTGAAGCCCATTTCTGGTGTCCCCCTGCCATGATATTGATGGAATATTGCTAAAAGCGGCGTAAAACTATACTCACTCACTTTTCACAATTCTCATGGAATTCAGTTGCGGATTAGCAGACAGGATTAGCCTGTTTAAATAACTCCTTGCAGATATCAGCTGATTACCTTTTGGACATATGCTTACATCAAGATGGAAGTTATTGCAATATGGAGTTGTCCTTTCAGCATGTGGTGCTCACGTAATCACCATTCTATGATTTTATGAAAACCTTTTGTCTCAGATAAAAAAGTTAGAAATCATATTAAAATAAAAGTTTAGTAATAGAACATCTGATTTATGGATGACACTTTATCCGGCCTGCTACACAAGACAATTTTCAGTGAAACTGTTTATCCGCATAGGTGAAGTAAGTATTGCAGTTTTGAACTGTAGATCATCTTGTAACATATGCTATATGTGAGATTATACTTTTTCTATCAAATACAGATTCTAGTACATTTTTGGGTTGAGTCCCATCCAGGATTCAAACCCTCACACTCAGATTGAGGCATCTGATCGCCGTCTCACAAAGTCAACAATCTAACCCACTCAGCCAGCATGGCTTCCACAAAAAATGGAAGTCTGACAACTGGTAATCTTTGTGTACCACTCTTGCAAATGTAAATTGGCAGGTTATGCACCAAACAAACTTTGCTGCCTGATGAATTTTGTCGTCAGATATAATGGAAGTATTTGATTTAAGGGGTAGATTCTAATATAAATTTTACTATTTCCTTTTCACTTGCAGGAAGCCCACATGAAAGCCCACGAAACCTGTCACCGAATCAGCACGCAAATTTTGCGTTTCAAGCCATCAAAAAGTAAGTGTCAAGCTCATTTGTGCATCAGTTGATCCTGGATTATTCTGCAAATTGGTTGGGTACAAACATATCAACAAACATAAACCAGTTTCACCAAAGTGGGACATGTCAACAAATATACATACTAGGTCCCCCAAAGTGGGACATGTCAACAAACATACACACCAGGTCCCCAAAAATGGGACATATCAAGAAACATACATACTAGGTCCCCCAAAGTGAGACATGTCAAGAAACATAAACTATTTTCCCTAAAGTGGGACATGTCAACTAACATACATACTAGGTCCCCCAAAGTGGGACATGTCAACAAACATAAACTATTTTCCCTAAAGTGGGACATGTCAACTAACATACACACTAGTTTCCCCAAAGTGGGACATGTCAACAAACATATACACCAGGTTCCCCAAATTGGGACATTTCAACAATTATGCCCTCAGCTTCCACCAAAATTCACCCTATGTCATTTTGGGAGAGATGTCATGGCTGTATAGTGAGGGTAACTTAAAGGTCACATGCAACGTAAAACACAACTTCGCAGATTCTGATACCTTTCGGTATGGACTTAACGAAACAAATCATCAAAAATGCAAATTCAACTTATAAAGTTGAAAAATAACGCGATGAAAAAACCCCAGCGGGATCGCAGAAGTTCAAGCGATTCACCAATTTTCCCCAGCTTTGGGGGAAAGTGATTTCAACAGCTGGGCTGCGCTCATAGCACATGCGCAGTGAAATAGGTTCGCGCAGCTTGTAAGCGGGTTGTCCGGTGAATACTCGGTGAAGGCTTTGGTGTGAGCTATTTTTCTAATATTTTGTTGATATTCACAGGCGCTTGCTTTTTATATGTTATGACAGTAGATTACCGATTTAACTGTTTATATAATTTCATTTTGTCTATTTCACCACACGTTCTTCTTACCGAGTCACTTTCTCAGTTCAATACTTAAAGGTCACATGCAACGTAAAACACAACTTTGCAGATTCTGATACCTTTCGGTATGGACATAGCGAAACAAATCGTCAAAAATGCAAATTCAACTTATAAAGTTGAAAAATAACGCGATGAAAAAAAACGAGCGAAATCGGAGTTCAAACGTTTCACTAATTTTCCCCAGACTTTTCTGGGGAAAACGGGTTTCAACAGCTGGGCTGCGCTCATAGCGTCGCGCGCAAGTAAATAGGTTAGCAGCTTGGAAGGCGGGTTGTCGGGTGAATACTTCGGTGAAGGCTTTGGTGTGAGCTATTTTTCTAATGTTTTGTTGATATCTCACAGTAGCGGGCTTTAATATGTTATGACAGTAAATTAACTGTTTATATAATTTCATTTGTCTATTTCACCACACGTTCTTCTTACCGAGACACTTTCTCAGTTCGATACTTAAAAGCAATGTCATTATTTAGCGTTGACAGAATTTCTAACTGTGATATAGATATGTCGTTGTCACAGACAAAACTCAATGTCTTGTTTTATTGACACCTGTGTGTCTGCCTGCCTGCCTGTCTGCTAATGACAATATTCAATACACAGCTGCTATCACTGACCACATGCAATTTGAACTTAACACCAATCAGGCTATACACCATAAACAAAATGCATTGATTTATGGCCCGAGTTGGTCTCTGTCACATTATGTAATTACACAGACAGGCAGGTGTGATACTTGAACACATGACATGTTATGATGTCTGTTGATTGCAAAATGTTATACACAAAAATGAGCATGTATTTACAAAACCCAACATCTCTATATATATACACACAATTAGCCGTGAAGGCATCTGCAAATGAACCAGCCGTTACACTTGAGTGCACACCCACCCGCTCTGACTGGGTTTGGTATCGGCTGCTTCGTTTCTTGGGAAGTAAACCCGAAGTACACAATTTTGCACTTTTCGATTTGCGATTATGCGGCTTATAATTTTGTTTATATATTTTTTCATAACCAGCAATGTATATTATATGTCATGAATAAGTGATAATTGTGTTTTAATTATGTTTGATTTTTTTGGTTGCATGTGACCTTTCATTATTTAGCGTTGACAGAATTTCTGACTGTGATATAGATATGTCGTTGTCACAGACAAAACTCAATGTCTTGTTTTATTGACACCTGTGTGTCTGCCTGCCTGTCTGCTTGTCTGCTAATGACAATATTCAATACACAGCTGCTATCACTGACCACATGCAATTTGAACTTAACACCAATCAGGCTATACACCATAAACAAAATGCATTGATTTATGGCCCGAGTTCGGTCTCTGTCACATTATGTAATTACACAGACAGGCAGGATTGATACTTGAACACATGACATGTTATGATGTCTGTTGATTGCAAAATGTTATACACAAAAAATGAGCATGTATTTACAAAACCCAACATCTCTATATATATATACACACAATTAGCCGTGAAGGCATCTGCAAATGAACCTGCCGTTACACTTGAGTGCACACCCACCCGCTCTGACTGGGTTTGGTATCCCGGCTGCTTCGTTTCTTGGGAAGTAAACCGAAGTACACAATTTTGCACTTTCGATTTGCGATTGTACGCTTATAATTTTGTTTATATATTTTTTCGTAACCAGCAATGTATATTATATGTCATGAATAAGTGATAATTGTGTTTTAATTATGTTTGATTTTTTGGTTGCATGTGACCTTTAAAAGCAATGTCATTATTTAGCGTTGACAGAATTTCTAACTGTGATATAGATATGTTGTTGTCACAGACAAAACTGCCTGCCTGTCTGCTAATGACAATATTCAATACACAACTTCGATCACTGACCACATGCAATTTGAACTTAACACCTATCAGGCTATACACCATAAACAAAATGCATTGATTTATGGCCCGAGTTCGGTCTCTGTCACATTATGTAAATACACAGACAGGCAGGTGTGATGTCTGTTGATTGCAAAATGTTATACACAAAAAATGAGCATGTATTTACAAAACCCAACATCTCTATATATATACACACACAATGAGCCGTGAAGGCATCTGCAAATGAACCAACAGTTACACTTGAGTGCACACCCACCCTCTCTGACTGGGTTTGGTATCCCGGCTGCTTCATTTCTAGGGAAGTAAACCCAAGTACAAAATATTGCACATTTGATTTGCAATTGTACGCTTATAATTTTGTTTATATGTTTTTTCATAATCAGCAATGTATATTATATGTCATGAATAAGTGATAATTGTGTTTTAATTATGTTTGATTTTTTGGTTGCATGTGACCTTTAATAACTCACATTTGGGAATGACCAGAGACATTTTACCTTGTGACTGAAATCTGCTTAATGTTGTAACAAGCCAAATGAACAAGCCCAACAAGTCTCTCTCATTACATTCCCTGTATCAATAACTACAGTAATATGCTGTCTCAAAATAGCTTCTTACCCCTTGGACAGGCCAATGCAAGTTAGCTCCTGGGAATCAAACCTGTTCATTATTTAGCATGGCTTGATTGAATGAATGAATGAACGAGATGCCTAATGTACATCAGTCTTGAAAATCAGTTGATAAACAGATTCTAGATTATGTAATAGGATTACTGATGTTTGTCTTTGAATAGAGCGTTTCCCGTTTCAGCTCCCATTTTCATCCCTTTCTAATCCATCATTAATTCGTCCTAGTCAGTGTCCATTCTACAACTCTATAAGAAATGCTATCATGTCTTCCAGGTGTGATGGCCGTCGGTGGTCATTTGCGTCTCTTCCATCTTCTGGCTATGGCACCAACACCCCGGGCAGCTCCAATTACTCAGTAAGTATGACCACTAGAGGGCACTGTCGTCCAAATGAGGCAAAATTCCCCCTTGTGGCATCAAAGAGCGTAACAAGACTGGTTACTGTCAACAGGATCATAAGCTGTATTTTGGCAAGGATCAATAACGATTGGGCTTGTATGAACGTGTACGTCATTGCCAGCTTTACTGATTGGTCTCATTAGCGATATGTTGAGATCAACACCAAATGTAGTCAAGACGGACATGTTTCAGTGTAGGGGATGATTGTTGGAAGGGTTTTACACCTGCTTGGAGGGCGAAATTAGCTGGTTTAACATCGGATGATTAGATTTGAGATCTGGTTAGATGTCTACATTTACTGCTACTTTCCTAATGTGCTTCCGCTAACCCACGCGGAAAGTATTTCCTGTCTCAGATAACATATTTTTGTAATGATTTGAGTTTGAAATTTAAAGTGTAGGAGAGAAGGTGTGGGCATACAGATAAAATATGAGAGATTTTACCTTGTGGCTGAAATCTGCTAAATGTTGTATCTTGGGTTTAAATCTTTATATGTAGACTTTAAATACATTTTCCCTTTTGAACACAAGGTTATGCTTAGATTCTGCTGCAATCTTGATAAACTGGTTCATTTGGTAATGTATGTGGTACAGTATCCTACAGCATCAGACATATTAAAATCTTCAGTTCTGATGAAATGTTTGGGGGGTGGGGGTGGGGAGTGGTGTCTTTTTCAAACCACAGGTGCATAATTTAAGATATGAACGAAACTTTTAGAACTTGACATGTAAGTCGGCAGAGGTGTCCATATAAATGAGTCCTTCACAATCTGCACGTTTTTTGGTGGAAACCTGTATCTCACTTTGCTCAGACACAAGTACAAATCCATACACGTACAAGAAACCATATGCCCACCCAGAATCCTCTCTCTCTCTCTCTCTCTCTCTCTCTCTCTCTCTCTCTCTCTCAAAATCCTCTATGAAAATTCTTTGGAAAAGTTATTACTAATTTTGGTAAAAAAAATACTAATTTTTACTTCAGTTTTTGGCTAAACTGGGCAAAATTAGGGTTGGCATCTCTTCATCTCTGCATTACTGTTCTGGACAGTAAGTATCAGGTCAACACAGTTTACTTCAATGAGTGATATTTAGATCAGAGGTACAGATAAGCTGCGTATCTGCTTAAATTACACAAATATTTATGCAAAAACACAATTCCTGTTAGGTGTATTGTGTACAGGTACACTTGAATTTTTGTAAATAGTCAGTAAATTTGATCTTACATGGGACTGGGTACACACAAAAATGTCAAATCTTAGCTTGCATACCGGTGGATAGATAAAATAACTGAAGTATACTGAGAGGTTCTATTTCAACACATGAACATGTAATCTTTCTTATCGTTTCTTATATTACAGATCAAATACAAATAACAAACATGTAAACCAACAATTAAAGTTTATCATATTTTTACAATTAATGGAAAATGGCAAAATACCCAATTGGGTGTGAGTGAGGTGGGTACAATTTATTTGATTACTTAATGGAAAATTAGGATACTCAGTTGAGATGAACACAAGCGAGTACATAACTCAATGACCCAAAATGTTATCTGTAGCTCTGTTAGATGCTGTGTTACTAATACAGACATGTTGCCATCACAATCAGCTGGTTACACTGGATGATATTGGTTATCGTTACCTACCACAGACTGAACATTACCAATACTATCACCACAGACTGAAACATTACCTATACTATCACCACAGACTGAAACATTACCTATACTATCACCACAGACTGAAACATTACCTATACTATCACCACAGACTAAAATATTACCTATACTATCACCACAGACTGAAACATTACCTATACTACACCACAGACTGAAACATTACCTATACTACACCACAGACTGAAACATTACCTATACTATCACCACAGACTGAAACATTACCTATACTATCACCACAGACTGAAGCATTACCTATACTATCACCACAGCCTGAAACATTACCTATACTATCACCACAGACTGAAACATTACCTATACTATCACCACAGACTGAAACATTACCTATACTATCACCACAGACTGAAGCATTACCTATACTATCACCACTGTTATTTACAGACTGCTGTTATTGAGTGGTAATATATTGCCGACTCAGCTCCAAGCAACAAGTACTTGTCCACTCACGTTGAAGTGTCAGATTGAGTATTGTGGCAGTAATTGTGATCAGCGGTATTACAGACAGATTGGTTCAAAGGATGCATCTGCTTCTGACTGAAGTCACGTGGCACAAGGAAGGGTCGGAATGAGTTAGATTTTCAACCATGTCCTCCTTACAGCAAGTCCCCATTCCCATCAGTCTGTTTCTCCTCTGTACCTACAAAGCCTGTGTTCCTTTCTTTACTTGTAACACATGAAGGTCTGGGCCCGTTTCACAAAGCTCTCATGAGCCTAAGATCTCATAACTTTTCTCATAGCAGTCATACCTCGTACAGGGATTTGGATAGAGAACTTTGACAATGGGCCATTTTCAGGATTGTTAGCCATTTTCTGAATTTAGAATGGGCCACTGCCCTTGTATCAATAGGAAACTTCAAAATGTTAATGCGCCATTTTTTGTTCTAATGTGCTAAATGGCCCATGGGCCCTGCCTTTCCCAGTCCCTGCTCCTATACTGTAGCATAGACTTGCGATAGTCGTAGCGCTACGATAGCTTTGGGGAAACGGGGCCTTGGGCTGGAATTGGTCTTCATAGGCCCCTGCTTGTAAGAGGTGACTAATGGGATCGGGTTTAGGCTTGCTGAAGCATGTCAGCGTATAATTCAGTATATGTCTGAAATGCCTGACTCATATTCGTTTTTAAATAAATAAAAATGTACTAACTGGCCCTAGATTGGACAATGTGTACATGATGAAATTCAGTTTTATTACATTTGATGCAATTCCCCTATGTGAATATACATCAGGTGACCCCTACTTTTAATAATGTGGGTTTCACAGTTTGGACAGAAATAGGAGTCAGGGAAAGATTGTTAGGTCCAAGAAAAGGATATTTGAAAATATTTTGGTAAATCCAGATAAGCCACAAAACTCGAGAAATAAGCACATCACAATGACGAAACATAGCTTGATCAACCCAAATATCAAATTGCATTTCGAAAGATACACATTAAGTCTTCTCAAAAACCTCGTGATTTCCTAATGGCCATCATTTGAAGTGACGGTTGTGTTCAGCAGCAAACCCTGATCAATAGAATGGCTGTGTTGGTGTGAAAGCCACTAGCCATATGGTAAAGGTCAGAACGTACTGGACTTGACAAGACGTCATCAATCTGGTATCGATTTTGTCTCAATATTTAATTCTATGCTGTTGTCCAGGTTAGGTTGAATGAACCGACATGACTTGTTAGAAGAGACCTGTGAAGATCAGCGGTAGAATAGGTCTTCAGCAACCCATGCTTGCCACAAGCTTGTCGTAAGAGGCAACTAACTAGATCAGGTGGTCAGGCTCGCTGACTTGGTTGACACATGTCATCGGTTCCCAATTGCGCAGATCGATGCTCATGCTGTTGATCACTGGATTGTCTGGTCCAGACTCGATTATTTACAGACCGCCGCCATATAGCTGGAATATTGCTGAGTGCGGCGTAAAACTAAACTCACTCTCTCACTTGTTAGAAGAAACTTGGTATACTGCTCCTACCGATAGTGGTTATGATTCTATTGATTCTGTTGCTTGAATCTACATTGGTATAAATGTTCACTTGATTCAAAAGAAATGTTAGTTAGGAAACAATGCATTCATCTGGGAAGTGCTAAGCAACAACTTAGTCGGCCTCAAACGTCCATGTATCTTGAGGAAATATTTACATACCTATATAATATATACGTCGTTTTGATAAAAAACCAACAAAAGATACCTATTTTATTTGAACTATGATCTTAGTGACCCCTACTGCTAGAAGAATACATCTCATTCCAGGTCACATACTGAAAAGAGTTGATTTGAATGCGATTGTGCTTAAATACAAAGAGTGAATAAGTGAGTTTGGTTTTACACCGCTTGTAGCAATATTCCAGCAATATCATGGCGGGGGACACCAGAAATGGGCTTCACCCATTGTACCCATGTGGGGAATTGAACCCGGGTCTTTGGCATGATGAGCGAACGCTTTAACCACTAGGCTACCCAACCATCCCTTAAATACAAAGACAAGAGCTTTGTATGTTATGTCAGACGGTCATATGTGCCATGAAATGAGAACCTGTAAAGATCAGGGTGAGAAATGGTCTTCAGCCACCAATGCTTGTTATAAGAGGTGGCCAACAGGATTCGGTGATCATTCTCACCGACTTGGTTAACACATTTTCATTGTATCCTAATTGTGTAGATCGATGTTCATGATGTCGATCACTGGGTTTTCTGGTTCAGACTCTTATCAATTACAAACCATTGTCATGTAGGTAGAATATTGCAGATTGCAGTATTAAACAGGCAAGTCAAAATCGTACTATGGGCACATGTAGGGATTCATTCCATATGATACACTGAAGTTGAAGGAGGTTGAAAGGTAAAATTTAGGACTGTTCTTAACAGGGGAGATATGTCCTTAAAGTTTCTATCTTCAAATCTGAATGTGTTGTTGGGACTGTTCTTGATGTTTCCATTTTCCATCCATGGGTAGTTGTTGTACATATAGTTTCAACACTAGTCCAATCCTTTATCTTCAACGGTTGCATTGAATGTTGTATGTTTACCATTTCATAACTAGGGCAATCCTGTTTGACAAATTTTCACCCAATGTTTCACTTCCAGTCACGGTACTCCTCTCAGGAGAAGCTGCACCAGCTGCCGTCACAGCCGACGGCAGAGGAGTTGCGTCTTCTCTCACGACACTTTGGGAGTTCGGAAAACAATGCTGCTGCGGCCAGCATCGCATCAGCGACGGTGGAGGATGACGGAAGGTGCTCTCCCCTGATGCGGCCAAGGTCAAGGAGCTTGAGGTATGTAGGTTGCATGTGCATGTTTCGGTTCTGTAGTGTCTTGCATCTGTTTCTGCATGCTGATTGTGTTAGATTAGAAGACTTGTTTTGGAAAGGGTTTTCATTCCTGAGTTTTACTAACACAGTTTGGTGTGTACTTACTTGTTGGTTAGAGTGTATTGTGTTGATTGTGTGTCTAGTGTTTAGAATGAAATGGGAATACACTGATTCTTGAGTGTGATGTGCGAATATTTGACAATGTAATTTCAAACTTAAGAGTGAGTGTTTAATTAGTGGGTTCTGATAATAGTTATTATAATAAGTTTTAAAACCTGACTAAGCATTGAGAATCTGACAAACTTGTGTTGATATCCAATAATGTTCGTATCAAAGAAATAAACCGATAATCTGTAAATTGATGATCAAATTATATTCATCAGTCTTATGATCTCATGCCCATTGAAATGTTTTCAATTTTGGACACATTACTCTTTATTCTTCATGATTAAATTCATTCTTTTTACTTCAACAAATTATGTAACATGTTTTTTCCAGTGTAATTTTCTTGAGAATTCTTTGTTCAAATAAACGTAAATATGGTTGTAAATAACAGTGATGTAATCAGGTTTTTTCAGTTTAATGCTTGACTAGTTTTGTGGAAGCTAGTATAACCATATGATCATCAAGTTGTGTTAATCAGCTGTATTTTACCAGAGAGCACTGTTTCAACCTTAATGAATCTCACAGTCAGACCAAACCAAGATGAATACGCCTTTATGAGGTCCTTCTTCTGTGAGGTATTCGAGACTAGTTCAAAGACTGTAGGCCCAACTAGCGTCCTTGTATCTCATTTGTTTAATCTCTCCCTAGTGATCAAGCTTGCTGATCGCAATGTTCAATTTGAATTCTCGGGATGTATTTGTGCTTGATGAGGAGGATTAATGTCTCCTGATAATGCTGTCATGATGATCTCTTGAATCATTTATTTATTTCAAGCTCGGCAAATGCATCCAAGATCTTTTGTTATATCTTTGAGACTGATTTGTCTGTGTGCTATTAAACTACCGCTGTACAAATACTGGTAGTCCAGTAATTTTAGTGGTTGTTTTTCTGGTTCAAGACCAATTCAAATTGTTTCACCCATGAAGATCCGGGTTAGAATTGGTCTTCAGTTAGAATTGTCGTAAGAGGACTCTAACAGGATCGGGTGGTCAGGCTCACTGACTTGGTTGACCCATGTCATCGTATCCCAATTGTGTAGATCGATGCTCATACTGTTGATCACTGGATTGTCTGGTCCAGACTTGATTATTTACAGAGCTCCACCATATAACTGGAATATTGCTGAGTGTGGTGTTAAATAAACAAACCAACCAACCAACCATTCCTGGAGTAGTTTGATCAGAGGTTGGACAGTCATACATACTGTTGGTTCAAGTAATAAGTCGAAGCCCTTTTTGTCTGTTGGTGACTCAGGCAATCAGGCTACCAGGCACAGTGACTTGACTGACTGCTTGCCAATACAAAACTGTTAATCATTGCTTGCAATGTCAATCACTGGATTTTCTGGTCCAGATTTATAATCGACATACTGTTGTGATGTAGCTAACATATTGCTGAGTGTCACAACAATCAACCAAGATACAAATTTACATATGACACCTTGAAACCCTGAGATCCAACCTTCCATACAGTTTCCCTTGAATATGGAGCTGCTGGTGAATTACTAGCCGACATGTAAACTCAACTGTTGATGCACTGTAAGATAGGGTATGAATTTTATATGAAAGTGTCTCAAGGTAAGCTGGCTGTTGAAGTGTTTGTTTCATCACAAACAAGATTCAGTTTTCCACATCTGTCATGCTACAATTCATGCTAACGGCCATGCTATTGCTGAACTGGTGCTAAACAAAAGGCTAAAATTTAGCTCAGTAACATTGAAAGTGAAGGATTATGTGTTAAGTGATTTGCTGATGAAAGGTCCAGTAATTGACATATACAATGTATTCAGACTGTTTATGTAGCAGGAAAACATGTCTCTGAACACGTACAGGAAAACCTAAATTTTAGACAAATCAAAATAGGATGAGTATCGCTGTCTTTTTTCTTATCGTCATATTCACAGAAGCATGTTGTATTGCTCTCTACACAATTTTGAATATGTTAATCGCACGATTATGTTCAACTCTATTTTTGCATCCTTGGGTTATGAGCACAAAATTGTAATTTTATGGCAAGAATAACTTGCATGCATTAATCCATCTCACAGAATAAATTTATTTTAATTTAAGAAATAAATTTAAAATTTGAAATCAGGTTTTGTTTTAACTTCAAATGAGTATAAAATGTCTTTATGAGGGGTATGTGCTTATAGTACAAACTAGTGTCTTTATGAGGGGTATGTGTATATGCACAAGCATGCAGGACAACTTCAATCTCTGTACGCGTATATTTTTATGCTTGGTATCACTAATCAGTGCCTGGTATATCAACAGTACCACGAGGAAGACTCAGAATTTTGGTTGAATTCCCTGTTACAATTTCGAACATGTCCCAGACCTATGTTACGAAAGTCAGACAGCCTTCTATGATGGCCTGGCAGCATGCCATGACAACTTGAACTAATACTTCCAGTGAAGTGTGATGCTGATATTTTCTCAATACAAGTCGCTCAAATCACGTGGCCAAGTTTCTTAAAGCAATACCATTTGCTGTCTAGAGTTATGTCCCTTACCTCTGAAGGTATAGGGCCCGCTATTAGATCATGGCTCTCTGTGAGACCTTAGTACTTTCGGTGACAAACAACGTTTCATACCTTTTGGAATGGTCTCATGGTTGTCAGTTGACAGTTAAAGGAACCGATAATAATGGCAGGAATAACAAATTTCCGATCTAACCAACCTATGTTGTTTATCTGGAATCTGTGCTACTGTTTCAGAAACATCGGGGTTAAAATTTGAATGTAAGTGCCAACTAACGGGATTGAGCTGATTTCGGAATTTGGTTGATGCATGTCATCTTATACCAATTGGGTGCCCATGATTTCAGTCACTTGATCGTCTGGTCCACACATAATTATTTATAGACCAGCATCATATAGCTGGAATATTGCCGAGTGTGGCATTCATGAATCAATCTTCCTCCTTGTCATTTACTTTCAAACTGATCGATCAAACCCAATCAGTGGAATTTGTTGTGTTGTTCAACTTTGTAACAACGATACTGGACAAGTGTCAATTCCTGCTGTTCAAAATCTCCAATTCGAGACATTCGTCGGAAATTCCATTAATTTTTTTGTTCATCAAAATTCTGAGTCTTCCTTCTGTCTGAAACTAAAATATTTGATGGACATTGCTAAATGTTGTAACATTTGCGGGGTAAGAGAGGGACTCAGTGTTGTCTTTTCTCCACAGCTGTATGTTAAACAACCCACGTCAACGTTGTTCCTTAACTCTGTTTGTACCATAAACCATCATCATTCAATGTTGTTATAGAAAATAACGCCTGTACAAAAATGTTGTAAATAACACTTTCTGTATATACACACAATTTGTTTCATTGTCATTGATGCCCAAACAATAAGTCGAAGCATGTTCTCTTCAATAAAGTAACTTCCATACATCATGCACTTTTAAAAAATTTGAACACTTAAATTCTTTCTCAAACAGCATGGGCATGTAATATTGTTCTTTACCCTAACAAATGTTCATTTAAAATAGATACCATAATTGAAAAATAACAACTGAATAAAAAATATACGAATAATAAAATGTGAATAGCTTAGATGTTTCTTGTTGACGTTTTGTTGGTAAATACTGTAATTTTCAGTAAATTGTGTATGATTCTAGTGCTATATTTGATGATGTATATCTTCTTTTTATCTCCCGCTTGGGCTCAACAGCCTATCCTGGCTTGCTCTAGAGTAAGACTTTTTTGTCATTTGTTTTGTAGTGCTCACAGTAGCAAGTAGTGTGTAGATTTCTTAAAACATCATGGGCGGTGGGGTGGCCGAGTGGTTAAAGCATTCACTCGTCACGCCAAAGACCCGGGTTCGATTCCCCACATGGGTACAATGTGTGAAGCCCATTTCTGATGTCTCCCCACCATGATATTGCTGGAATATTGCTAAAAGCATGAAACCAAACTCACTCATTCACTCACTCATTCATACAACACCATTTAATCGGTGTGAATAATGTTCAAATCTTGCAGTACTTGTATACTGGGTGGCCCCTTGTCATAAAACTTGTGGCTCTGAGATTTGCCCTGTGAAAGAATGACTAGGTAGATAGCAGAGCAAATATCAGCCAGTCAAACATTTTCAAGAGACCAATTCATATGACAAGACCCCATCATTTATTATTCGGTTGAGTGGCACAATCATAATGACCTTATGGTCGTATTAATATATGGTTCTTGGAATCTTTTTCAGTTGGCTCATCAGTGCCAAATTTTGGTCAAACTCATGAAAATGGTCAGTTCTTACAGGAAGACCAAATTTAATGATGCCTGAAAATGTTTTCACTTAATCAGACCAATTTGTGTCTTGTCTTAATGGGAAAAAGTGCATTCAAAAGTAATCAGGCTAGCTATTCTCAAAATGTTCATAGCCCTATGAACTTTTTAAACCCATTCTTAAGACATTGGCTACGATCAAAGTTAAGAATTCTTAGGGCTACTAACATTTCGAGAATAAGGGCCCTGATAATTAGAAAATATTGACTGTCTGGTCAGTTGCTGATGTTATCAACCTCTGGTATGTCAGATCAAAACTGGAATATTCATAAGCTGTTTCAAATTAGCTGTAATATTGCTGACTGCAGCGTTTAACGAGGGCTCACCATTAGTGGATGAGGGTGATAGCATAATGGATTCTCATTCAAAACAAATCTTTTATTGAGATACGATATCTCTCTGCTTAGATAATATGGGATCTCCACATGGAACTTTATAAATGGCCATTCTGGCTTCTAATTTTTGTGCCAAACATTCAAACATGCATACTCAGTTCCGTATCTCTGAAAGGTAAATAACAGGAATTTCCCCGTGCAGAACAATAACACCATGTGTCTATTTTGTGAATGTTTCACATTCTGTTGTATCGGAGCACCATGGCATTGGCATTCAAAATGGTTTACTAGTGACGGTGAATTATTGATCTGTGGCGTTTCTCTGGATGGATCAGGAGCGGTATGGGAGCCTAGTGGTTAAAGCGTTCGCTTGTAGGACTGGGTTCGATTCCCCACACGGGTACAATGTGTGAAACCCATTTCTGGTGTCCCCCGACATGATATTGCTGTAATTTTGCGAAAAGCAGAGTAAAACCCAACTAACTCACTTGCTCACTCGGGGTGGATCAAAAGATATTTAATCGAGTTGGTAAAGAAATAAAGCCTAATAATTATAAAAAGCTGACATCCCATTACCTATAACCCTCTTGTCCCTCACTTCGATTGGGCTTTTAAAGTTTGTACAGGGTCATCTTCATGCAAGAGAGATATCGTGTCAGATTAATTGATCTGTTTTTGTGATATTGGGGTTAGTATGACATTCCTGGGTGTATGTCGTTAAAACCTTTACACACAACTGCATGTTTATGAATGTTCTTAGAAAACCAAGCACTAGGATCCTTTGCACAATTTGACAAGAACTTAAATGTACCAATTTTCCCATTGATATGTCGATTTGCTGTTGTTGTGATATTGGTATACTGTCTGTTAAGGAAATGGATGAATTATTCCCATGTAAGCTGTTATTAATGAAGAAATTGAGGAAAACATTGTTTGGATCAAGTCACTTATTGATAACTGAAATTAATCTTATGGCCAGTAAATCATGTCCATAGTTCAATCTGTTTGATGCATAACAAAATACCTACTTGACATAAGAACTTGTACAAGACATAGCGTGACAAATCAATATATGCAAGCACACATCGTACTCAACATTTTGCTAAGGGACACTCCTTGATCCTTGCATTGGTGAATATTGGGCGGTGGGGTAGCCTAGTGGTTAATGCGTTGGCTCGTCATGCCGAAGACCCGGGTTCGAATCCCCACATGGGTACATTGTGTGAAGCCTATTTCTGGTGTCCCCCGCCGTGATGTTGCTGGAATATTGCTAAAAGCGGCGTAAAACCAAACAGTCAGTCAGTCAGTCAGTCAGTCAGTGAATATTGGGTAGTATATTTTTCTGGATCCTCTTGCATTCTGCAGGGTTAGTGTCAGCCATATTTGTTTGACACTTTTGATACAGAGACACAGTAGTGTGGCTATTTGAAAAATAGGGTGATAACGGTCAAAGTATATAAAAATGAACCTGCTTGCAACTGGCTTTATTATGTTTGAACTGCAAATTTGAATATTGAATCAATTCAGAAACTTTGAAAATCAGGCTTCAATATTAGATAAATCACCTGAAGATAGAAGATCAATAATCGCGTGCAGCAACCTTACAAGTTACATGCACCACTGCCGCATTTTTCATTAACATCGGTAGCTGGAAATGACATACCGAGCATCTTGTGTTTTCTGATGCTGTACCTGTCTGTTTTGGCATAATACCTCAGTTAGTGTGGATGTGAGGTCTGATTAGTTGTGCATCGTGACCATTGTGTCAGCCACTCAACTTTCTGCATGATTGTACGATGATGTACTTGAGATGAGTAGCCTGATATGATGGTGCTGATGAACTTTAGATTGTATATGTGTTTGTATCAACATTGCTTCAGATTCTCATGATTATTATGCTTTGATTTGTATGTAATCTCAGTATTAACGAGCAGTGGTAGCCTTATGGTTAAGCGTAGACTAGTCACGTCGAAGACCGGGGTTCAATTCCCAACATTGGTGCAAATTGTGTAGCTCATTTTTGGTTTTCCCCGTGGGATATTGATGGGATATTGCTATAAGTGGCATAAAATTGTACTCGCTCACACACTCCCTGTATTGCATTAAGCCCAGTGGACATCTGGGTAGAATTGGTCTTCACCAACCAATGTTTTCAGCAACACATGTCTTTCGGCAGGTGGTCAGGAATGCTGATTTGTTGATGCATGTCAGCGTGTCCCCCATTTGCAAAGACCCATGATGTTTATCACTGGATTGTCTGGTCTAGATTATTTACAGATTGCCATCATACAGCTGAAATATTGCTGAGGGAGATGACCAACAGACTATATTTATTTTATGTTCAATCACTCAAAAATGGGCAGAACTAAAAAATAACACATTATAACAACCCTAATATTGGCAAAGGTGATGCTTATTAATATTTCAAATCTAATGTGGCGGTGTGTAGATAAGACCGTTTTAACTATCAGAGTGTTAAAATCCTTAATGACTGGCAACAAAACTTTTACATCAGATAGACTAACTTGTTCTTTTATGTTTATTGCCTCTAAGAGACTAGGGAAGATCGGGGTTAGAAATGGTCTTCAGCAACCCATGTTTGTCGTATGAGGGGACTGATGAGATTAGATGGTCAGACGCTGACACGATTTATAGCATGTCATCATTTACTTTTAATACTGCAGAGTTGAATGCAAACAAAAGGGCGATAAGTAGCTGAAATATTGTTCAGCTGGGATTTGTTTAGTTATGACTTGCTACTTGCTTTCTTTGACGATGTTGGCGTTGACGTTGTTAACCCTGTAACTCCTTCTGCAGTAGTCCAGCTCGATCCCCCGGTGGCGACTCTGAGATCATCATCATGAACAGCGTGTACAAGGAACGATTTCCTAAGGTAAGCAGTTTCTATTTTGGAAAAGAGCATGGATGGCCGATCATCTGAAGCTTTGCAGTTCACTGTGTAGAGATACATGGTGCCTGAAACTTATGGTGAAGGGACTGTATCCCACATTCATCTGATGTTTCTGGGGTTTTCAGCACTGTAAAGGGTTTCAGGTTTGAAAAGAACTCTGAACTGTCATGACTTCAAGGTTTCCTTGTGTACACCTTGACGTAAATGAAATTCAGTTCATAAGAACATCAAACCAAAGTGCTAATTAATTTGAGTTCCCCATTTCTTTAAAACACTCCAAGTGCTTCTACTGTTGTAAGTCTTTAAAGGTGTAAGCATTGTGTTCACTATAGTGCTATGGTCAATTTGTGAAATGGGTATTTTCAGATGCAGTAGACTCAATCTAGATTTGCATACCTGATATTTAGACTATGATCATGAATGTTGTAGCATTAAACATCAAAGGCCATTCCTCGCTGATACTCCAAGGTGAAAAGACATACCAACAGTGATTAGTGGAAACATGTAAGGAAAGTAATGTGATTGTTTTAGAAAGATAATTCAAACAATAAATCTGTGTTTAAATCTCTGTAGGCGACAGCTCAGATGGAAGATCGTCTGAAGACGTTTGTTCGAGACAGTAGTAAGCTAAGTGAGGACAAGGAGAAGGATGCTGTGCTGTGCTTCGTCCACCATCAGGTGCTGGAGCTGGCTCGGGACTGCCTTGAGAAGTCACAGCAGAAGCTCATCACCACCAACTACTTCTATGAGCTCTCTGACAGTCTCGAGAAACTGGCCAACGATGTGAGTCACTGATTTGTATTGATACATATTAGGAGATCGGCCATTAGTTTTACTCCCCACTGAACACTACTGACTTGTGAATAAGCCTTCACTTTTGGTCATTGTTTATTCAAGGGAGATTACTATGTTCGGGCAAACACGACTCGGGTAAATGTTATAACCCAGAAATCAGAGTAGGAATTCTGGTCTGAATTCAGGACATTGACTGCTCCAAGATGTCCAGATTTTGTTTTCTCCAATTTTGTTAATAACAGTGGATAAAGTAATGAATATGATAGTTGTCAAACAGATAGAAAACCTTCTACTGTAGTGGCAGATATGCTGTTTCAAAAGATATGCCCCAACAGACTGATTCTGTTGCTTATCCTACAAAAGTCAAGGGGAGGTAACTGCCACAGCAGTAGAGACAGATATACCATTTAATGACATATAACTCCTACTGAGTGATTGTATAACTGGCATGCAAATCAAGGAGAAATCATTCCCACAGCAGTAGTGGCAGATACGTTAAGTTCAATCCCCCACGCAGAATGATTCCATAGAAGTCAAGGGGAGGTAACTCCCAAAATGACACAGTAAACTTACACAAGGGAGATAATCAAATCCAGAGACTGTTAATTAGGTTTTTCTTCCCACAGGCAAAGGACAAGTCGGTTGAAGCCTACACACATGTTTACCCCCTCATTAAACAGCTTCTCATCATCATCTCCAGACCCGCAAGGCTCTTGGAGTGTCTGGTGAGTATGTCATCGCCGTTTGTGTGCATGCCAAGTTTGGTAGTATTTCATCATGATGTTATGGCTATTTTGGGAAAGTTTCTCTAATTGGAAAGTGAACTGAGTACAGTGATCAGGATCAAATAGGGTTTATTTTGTGGTAGCTATTAATAGAAGTTAATAATGAATGGGGAGGTTTTGCTGAATGTATTGACGTGTGTATCGTTTCTTCACAATAAATTGGTATTCCAGGAAGTCATGATTATATACTGACATCAAGTTATATCTATAGAAGAAGGCAACAGTAATACATTCTTTGGTTTAGAATTCAAATTGTAAAACAAGAAAAAGTGATTATGGTCCAGTATGATATTCATATTTAACTGATATGCCATGATAAAACTGGAATTCTGTTCAAAGCAAAGTTAAATCAAACTCACTCACTTACACATGAAAATAAAATACATCAAACACCAGCAAATTGTACCGTTAGATTTCTTCAAAATATGACATGCAGAAGCCCATGTTTTATTATTTCATTATTTCAGTTGCTCAATCAAATTGCAATCTGAATAATCCTTGAGAATTGAGGCATATTATTGAGGCGTGTCAACCACATTGTGCCTGTGATGGCAGAGATAATGAAACCAAACTGTTTCTTGTTTGAAATTGCCATCTTACTTGTTTTTATTGAAGGTAGCAGAGAGGGTAAGAGTTGCTAGTTTTGGTGTCTAAGTAGTGACCATAACTCACTTGTATATAGTAATCAATATTAAAACAAATATATATTTAAAACATATATTTTAAACATTTTGTCAAGTGTATTGTAAGCAAAATGTTAACTCCAAAGCATATGATAACTTACGAAATTCTGCAATAAATATATAAAACCAGATTATTCCTCAATACTAAATACTAAACTCCAAATACAGATATATACAAAGTAATTGTATTTTTGTTATCGGAGAAGTCTGGGTTCCATGCATTGTGATAATGCCAAGGTAATGTGAAACAACTGTCGATTCAAAGCTCTGTCCAGAATAGTATTACAAGCAAATGATGTCATGTGAGAAACTGCAAGCAATTAATAAATAAGATGGATATAGCAACTTGATTCGAATAAACCTTTCTTTCATGTCAACATTGTACTTTGGGAGGAGCATTGTTAGTTAATCCATACACATCCTGGTTACATGAATATGAAAGCAAAGCTTGCACAAGGGAGGTGGAATTTGTTTTAGATGTTTTCTGTGCAGTTTGACTAAACTTTTATGGTTAGGTCAATCTGTTTCTTTCGGAAACATTTCTTATAAAATTAATCGTCCCAATTTTATCATTATTATGGAATATTGCACTGGCGTTAGGGTGACTTTGTGAAAGGGTATAAAAGAAATTGTTATGTTAAATCATCCTCTTTTCCAAATTTTTGAAGGGCATTTAGAAGTGGAATGCATAAGAAAAACAAGATTTATGGATGTCAACTTCTTATTGTCAATAACACGACGTTTCGGAGTGTATGCTTGCTCCTTCATCAGGTGAATGGTAGGGAGTATGAGGGAGATATATATATATACATACATGAGGCACTGAGGAAGGAGCAAGCATACACTCCGAAACATCGTGTTATTCAGAAGTTGACATCCATAAATCTTGTTTTTCTTATCCTCTTTTCCATCACAAAGGTCTTGGTATCCACATGTTCTTAAGACAGTGTTGATGTAGGTTTCTGTGAGTTTCTTATGGTCCTTCTTTGTACAGGAGTTTGATCCGGAGGAGTTCTACATGCTGCTGGAAGCTGCTGAGGGAGAAGCTAAACAGACCATCAAGGCAGACATCCCACAATACATCATCACTAAACTTGGGCTCAACAGAGACCCTCTGGAAGGTATGGGAAACTATAGAACATGGCTGGGTTCAGTAATGACAGTCACACATCCCACAATACATCATCACTAAACTTGGGCTCAACAGAGACCCTCTGGAAGGTATGGGAAACCATAGAACATGGCTGGGTTCAGTAATGACAGACATCCCACAAACTTCACTAAACTTGGGCTCAACAGAGACCCTCTGGAAGGTATGGGAAACTATAGAACACTGACATAGACATCCCACAATGACATCATCATCATCACTAAACTTGGACATCCCACAAAACTTGGGCTCAACAGAGACCCTCTGGAAGGTATGGGAAACTATAGAACATGGCTGGGTTCAGTAATGACAGTCAGACATCCCACAATACATCATCACTAAACTTGGGCTCAACAGAGACCCTCTGGAAGGTATGGGAAACTATAGAACATGGCTGGGTTCAGTAATGACAGTCAGACATCCCACAATACATCATCACTAAACTTGGGCTCAACAGAGACCCTCTGGAAGGTATGGGAAACTATAGAACATGGCTGGGTTCAGTAATGAGCAGACATCCCACAATACATCATCACTAAATTAGAGTTGAAGGTAAGGGAAACTGTGACATCTGTTGCAGGTATCAGAAGATGAGCAGAATCCCCCTATTTTGAAGGATGACCATTTTGACATCCCTATTTTGGAAACCATCAAGAGGAAGATGAAGACCCTGAGGTTTGTTGTTGAGCATCTCACACTGAAAATGTTTTTCAAATACTTGGCTTCTGGCCATTTCTAGTGATACTGGTGCAGTACCTTTCCTTGTAGTATGGGAGAAACATATGAGTGTCTGTAACATTTTCAATTTAGTACCTACAAACGTTTTACTTTTTAGACTAGGATTCAGTCTAATCATTTTGTTTCGTTGTGTATTTTAATACCAGTGTCTGTAACTTACTTCTTTAAAAATTGACGAGTCTACCACATTTGGCAATGATATGTTATTGATTGTATTCCAGAGTAAAGAGATTCAGAAGCTGATGAAACAAAAGCCTCCATGTGAAGAAGACTTTGAGACAATCAAACTCATCAGTAATGGTGCTTATGCGTAAGTACATGAGATGCTGCTCGGCTGTAGTTGTGTACAAACTGGGAGACTTCCCTCACATGTTAGTAATTAGGGTTGTGACGATGCATCGAACTGTTGATGGATTGGAATTGTTGAGTCTCTGATCGAAATTATTGATGTAGAAACGAAAAACTATCCATAGTATGTGCGACTATCAATAGTTTAGTACTTGACCTCTGTTGATAAATGCGCCGTGCAAAATACAGAAAGTACCAGATTCCTTCACTTAGATTTAGAGTTATCCCCTGTTACCTTATAATATAGAACAAACTTTATGGATAACAACTTCTTTTTATTCGTGAGTGCGACGTTTCGATACAGATATAACTTCTTTTTATTAGTGAGTCGCGGCGTTTCGATACAGATATCTGTATCAAAGCGTCGCAAGACTCACCTAAATAAAAGAAGTTGTTATCCATAAAGTTTGTTCTATATTGTACTTCCCAACTTCTAAAATGCCACTCAAAGAAGTTACCCTGTTACCTCTTAAACAATCTTGATCTGGATTTCAGGTTTCTTGTAAGGTATTAAAAGAGACTGAAACTATTTCAGCTTGTGTTTGTTTCATATAAATTACACATTCATTTGGAAAATGACTTCAAATGAGACAATTCAAGGAGAAAAAACCCCATTGCAATAGTGTTGCAATAATTTGTTGCAGTAGACTATCACTATCACAATAGTATGTTGTAATTGACTATCGCTATCGCAATAGTTGTTTCCCCCTCAATAGTCACCTCTAGTAGTAATGTATATTTATACATAAGCTAGAATATTCTTGTAAGAATGACAAGTTGGGCTGGGCAAGAGATGATGTTTTTCTGAACTGTTTATCTGATTCTGATACTGTTGTGTGACAGGGCTGTGTTTTTGGTGCGTCACCGAGAGAACAGGCAGAGGTTTGCCATGAAGAAGATCTGCAAACACAATCTGATGCTGAGGAACCAGATTGAACAGGTGTTCCTGGAGAGAGACATCTTGTCCTTCACAGACAATCCCTTCGTTGTCAGCATGTACTGCAGTTTTGAGACAAAGGTCAGTCGCTAAGGTCTCTCTCATGTGCCCTAGCACTCAGTCACCAATAGGATTAGTGGATAAGTCATCTGTCCCATTGGTAGGAGACTTAGTACCTGGGTGGCATCATACCAAAAGATGGTACTTGTCGTTAACCAGTCCAGGGTGCTGTTGTACAAAGTGTTCTTAGTTTTATAGTGACTGTAACTCCCATACCTTAACATAGACTTAAGGTAGTCTTAGCCCTAAGGTTGTTTTGAACAACGGCACCCACGCCCTATGTCTTTAATGTTAATGATCTAAGAGAAGGTGTGAAGCCCATTTCTGGTGTCCCCTGCCGTGATGTTGCTGGAATATTGCTAAAAGCTGCGTAAAACAAATGTCAGTCAGTCTGTCTAAGAGAAGGTCTCTTCAATGGACATGGTATCTCAAGAGGCTGTGGGTGGCCAAAATTCTGAAGTGCTACTGAGTTGCCTCAAAATTCTGAGGTGCCACTTGGCGTGCCAGAAACCTCTGATTGTTTATTCATGTCACTTTTGCCCAGATTGTGTTTATATGTCAGCACGATAACCATACCAGGCCCGGACACCATCATAAAAGGTAGAATAATGATGACTGATGCTAAACAATACAATTACCAAACAAGCATTTGGAGTATGTTCTACATCCTTAACTCACCTATGATGTTTATTACAGAAACACTTGTGTATGGTGATGGAGTATGTTGAAGGAGGGGACTGTGCTACTCTGCTCAAGAACGTAGGTTCTCTCCCACTCGACCTGGCCAGGTGAGGAAAGGTTTTCACTTTGGAAACTGTCACTGTCAGTTATAGATATTGAAAAGAGGCTCCGAGCTTCTTCTTCTTCTATTTCTTCTAACCAGTAAACCCACACTAACACTCATATAATATGTTCCAGGATGTATTTCGCCGAGACAGTGTTAGCCCTGGAGTACCTACACAGCTATGGCATCGTACACAGAGACCTCAAACCTGACAAGTAACGTTGTTTACTCAGTCCTCTATTTTCTGTTACCATGTTAATTTGTTCTTTGTTTCTCCAATGTTGGCCTGGTGGTGAAATATTTTCTCATCACACTGAAGGCCTGGGTTCAAATCCCAACATGATTTAAATATGTGAAGCCCATTTGGGATGTCCCCTGCCATGATACTGTTGGAATATTGTCATATTTGATGTGGTGTGTTTCCTGAAAGATGTGGACATTGGTATTGCCTGGTGGTTACAGCGTTCGCTTGTCATGCCTTAGGTCTGGGTTTGATTCCTCAGATATGTACAATGTATGAAGCCCTCTTCTAGTATCTCTTGATGTGATGTTGGAATATTGCTAAGAGTGGCGTAAGGCCATACGTAATCCCAGAAGATGCCACACAATTGAGGATGATTGAGATTCTTTTCTTTCTTTCAGCCTACTTATAAACGCTACTGGACATGTTAAACTGACAGACTTTGGTCTTTCCAAGATTGGTCTCATGAGCTGTAAGTGTGTCATTGTGTACAATATTTCCTTGATGCAATGTTAACTTTAGTAGAAATGATATGTGACTACTATGAATCCACCCTGCTAATTACTCTACTAGTTCCTTGCACTATAGGAAAGAAAACATACTTAGAGTCATGGTTTATTGTAGCACATAATACATGCCGTTAATTCTGAAGCAAGCCCAAAAGAATGGCATATTCAATCTGGTCATGATTTGATCAGGAAGGAAAGCACTGAGAGAAGTGGAGAGTACCCTGAGAGAGAGAGAAACACTGAGAGAATGGGAGATGGCAATGAGATAAGGGGAGATAACCCTGAGAGGAGAGAGAAAACACAGAGAAGGGGAGATTACCCTGAGAGGAGAGAAAACCCTTAGATAAGGGGAGATTACCCTGAGAAGAGAGAAAACACTTAGATAAGGGGAGATTACAATTCCCACAAAATGTGTTTCAGTGACCACCAACTTATACGAAGGGGCTATGGACAAGGACTACAAACAGTTCAAGGACAAGCAGGTGTATGGTACACCTGAATACATTGCACCTGAGGTCATCCTCCGACAGGGATATGGTGAGTGCTTGTCCCGAAGCGCTTGTACAGCCTAACTGGCAGAGCAAGAGCCAAAAGTGATGTTGCTGCTATAATTATTAACTCTTCTACTGATAGTGTCCAGACCTCCCTAATAGGATTCCAGGTTAGAATATGCTGGTCCATAGACCCAAGCAAATGGCATGGAATATTGCTCAATCTGATCCAGACTACAAAAATACAGGCCACCGTCATTTAGCTTGATTTTTTTTTTCTGAGGTTGCATCACAAAACAAACAAGTTATTCAATTTCATGCAGTATAACAATCTGTCAGTACAAGATACTGAGCATCTTTGCAGAGGTTGTAAGGGTTGTTGGTACTGTTGCAGGCAAGTGTGTGGACTGGTGGTCCATGGGGATTATCCTGTATGAGTTTCTCGTGGGATGTGTGCCATTTTTCGGAGACACTACGGAGGAACTTTTTGCCCAAGTTATTCACGGTATGTATTTTCGGTAGCGAAAATCATTTGAAGTCAATGGATTGTTCGCTTCAATAATGTTTCTTTTTTGTGTGACATTTAGTGTATTTGAAATGATTATGTCAGTGTCCTGATTGAAAAAAGGAGAAATTTTGGGAAAATTATACCAGTGATCGGGTGGAAGTAAATGCACTTTTAGATGAATCATTTTAGTCTGATCAAAACTGTCATTGAAACTTTTAAAATGAAGGGACCTTTGAATGTTATAATTTTAACATTGTCTTTATGGTTGGACCCCCTCACTTGATTTCTGACAGTGCTTGGTTGTGTGTTACAGAGGAGATTGAGTGGCCGTCAGAGGATGAGTGGCAGGGTCGGGATGATGCCAAGGACCTGATCACCCGTCTGCTGACCAACAACCCAGTAGCCAGACTCGGAACCACAGGAGCACAGGAGGTCAAGGAGCATGTCTTTTTCATGGGGCTGAACTGGGAGAGCCTGCTGCGACAGAAGGCGGAGTTTGTGCCCCAGCTGGACGATGATGAGGACACTAGTTACTTCGACAGTGAGTGTAGTTGAACCATCCAGGAACAGTAATGTGTGGATTTATATTATATGTGTGAGCCCTCCAAAGATAGGTTGGGTCGTCTGTACCCTATATGTATTAGAAGTCTTTTACATTGCTTTGTTGATACAATGCTGTATGGCTGTTACAATGATATCATGAATGTTATATATCCCTCAAGACTTTTATTGATCTAGCCCTGTAATGTCCTTCAAGATTTGTACTTAACTGACCCTGTAATGTCCTTCAAGATTTGTATTTAACTGACCCTGTAATGTCCTTCAAGATTTGTATTTAACTGACCCTGTAATGTCCTTCAAGATTTGTATTTAACTGACCCTGTAAAGTCCTTCAAGATTTGTACTTAACTGACCCTGTAATGTCCTTCAAGATTTGTACTTAACTGACCCTGTAATGTCCTTCAAGATTTGTATTTAACTGACCCTGTAAAGTCCTTCAAGATTTGTACTTAACTGACCCTGTAATGTCCTTCAAGATTTGTACTTAACTGACCCTGTAATGTCCTTCAAGATTTGTACTTAACTGACCCTGTAATGTCCTTCAAGATTTGTACTTAACTGACCCTGTAATGTCCTTCAAGATTTGTACTTAACTGACCCTGTAAAGTCCTTCAAGACTCATACTTATTGGCCCTGTCATGTCTATCAAGATTTGTACTGAACTAACCATTTTGTGGTCCTCAGCTCGTACTGACCGGTACAACCACGAGCTGGAGGCCGAGGACACCGAGGACGATGCTGATGACCCCCTCTTCCACAGCTTCTCTTCCTGCAGCCCCCGCTACAACAAGGTGTACTCCAAGATAGATGAACTTCATGAGGTACTTAGAGTCAAGGTGGGGGGTTTTATCTGGTCAGCCTGTCTGTGTGCTGTCGTACGTGTGGATGGCATGTCTCCCTCGGATGTTCTGCCCATGCATGATGGCTGGAGTAGTCCAGTGGCTACAGCGGTGGTTTGTTTAGCCAGGTTTGGTTCACCAATTCAGTGTTTCCAATCTCCTAATATCTGCAGGTATATTTGAAGACCTGTTTGGCCATGTGTCGGGTAGAAATGCTCTATGAATTTTTATTTCATTTGGATACTTTTTTTTCTTCTTTTAATTGTGAGTTCATAAATGGATCAGACAAAAATGAACATGACAATTCAAAATATGGAGAGGTCACAAGTGGCCTTCTAGTCTAAGGCGCCACAGCTCTCTGTGCCGAGTTCCTTCTCTTGGGCACATTAAAAACCTATGACAATGTTTCTGAATTCCCAGATTCGCCCCAATTTTTTGCTCGGTTTGTCAGCATCATAGCCAATGCTCGGGGGCTTCATTTAAGTGGTAAACGCCTGAGATGTGCATCACTTGAAGTTTTCTTCCTACATTAGCGGACATGACATGGTATAACTGTAATACTGCTCAGAGTGGAGATAAAACCCAAGTCACTCATACTTTTATGGGTAGATTTACCTAGCTTTTCTTCGGGACTTCCCATGGGCCTTATACTTTGTGATGATAATAAGCAGACATTATCTCTATATTTTATTATAAAATGTCGAAAAAGGGCAAAGTAATGTCATGTCGAATGTTATTATGTGAAACCAGTTGTGAAATATAAAACCATTGGAAACACATGGGTGCAGTGTGTGAAAGAATTGTTGGTCCCCTGCTTAGCATTGCTAAAACTGGACTCACATCAAGCTCCACTAACTCTCCCGCTTCCAATGCATGCCTGTATTTGTTACTCATCCTGCTACCGACAGTAACTGGCTCTCCCATTTTGTAACGGTGCCTTCCACAATCCCTGCGTTACTCACATTACAACATTAGAATTGATATGGTTGCTTTGACTAAAAAAGTTCCTGATATTGTTATCAGTGTTAGCAACATTTTGTAAAATGGTGCCAGAATTTCGGATTTGAGTGTATGGGCTTGCCCGAATCCTAGCTGTTGAGGGTCATGAGTTTGAATCCTCAATTTGCCCAGATAATTGGTCTGTGGACAATTTGGGCTACCTTCAAACCTTCCATCACTAAAATACTGTTCAAACTGAGCTCTCTCTTAAGCCTTCTCTGTCCCATGGGTTCCAGGATCATAATATGTCCCCAGCAGCCTATGCTGGTTGTAAGAGGAGGCCAAGTGGATTGGATGGTTGGGTCCACAACTTGTTTGATAGCCTTGTCCAGATACCCCAACAAAAGGAGTCACTGCTTGAAATATTGAATCACTGGATTGACTCGTCCAGATTTGATTCTTTACAATCTCTTATCAAATATCTATAATGCTGAGTGCAGTAAGTAAAACACAATAGGCCCCTTTCACCTCAAAATTTGCTTTTCAATGAGCTGTTCTCTCAGGAATGTTTCGCAGAATGAGAAATGGTATATATTATAAATTATTTCAGATGTAATTTTAGGTCAGCTTATAACTGTAGTTAATCATTTCTTGTTCTCTTTAGGATCCTAATGAGAGAGACAGGCGTCGCCACTCCAGCGCTGATGACTTCCGGACACGAGTGTTGGAGAAGAAGAGGGCTGGAGAGGAAGGACTCCAATCAGTCCGAGAGCTCTGAGGGATCAATCGAAGTCAGGAACGCCTTCAGGAAGGATAGCACAGACCGGCAGTCCGACACAACAGACTCCCGGACAGATGCCAGCACCATCAAGATGGATGAAGATGTCTTCAGTGTCTCTGACATAAGGTAAACATTGGGCACATGATCATGACTTGCTGGTAAACAGTCTTCAGTGTCCCTGACATAAGGTAAACATTGGGCACATGATCATGACTTGCTGGTAAACAGTCTTCAGTGTCCCTGACATAAGGTAAACATTGGGCACATGATCATGACTTGCTGGTAAACAGTCTTCAGTGTCCCTGACATAAGGTAAACATTGGGCACATGATCATGACTTGCTGGTAGACAGTCTTCAGTGTCCCTGACATAAGGTAAACATTGGGCACATGATCATGACTTGCTGGTAAACAGTCTTCAGTGTCCCTGACATAAGGTAAACATTGAGCACATGATCATGACTTGCTGGTAAACAGTCTTCAGTGTCCCTGACATAAGGTAAACATTGGGCACATGATCATGACTTGCTGGTAAGGTAAAACAGTCTTCAGTGTCCCTGACATAAGGTAAACATTGGGCACATGATCATGACTTGCTGGTAAACAGTCTTCAGTTTCCCTGACATAAGGTAAACATTGGGCACATGATCATGACATGACTTGCTGGTAAACAGTCTTCAGTGTCTCCTGACATAAGGTAAACATTGGGCACATGATCATGACTTGCTTGCTGGTAAACAGTCTTCAGTGTCTCTGACATAAGGTAAACATTGGGCACATGATCATGACTTGCTGGTAAACAGTCTTCAGTGTCTCTGACATAAGGTAAACATTGGGCACATGATCATGACTTGCTGGTAAACAGTCTTCAGTGTCCCTGACATAAGGTAAACATTGGGCACATGATCATGACTTGCTGGTAAACAGTCTTCAGTGTCCCTGACATAAGGTAAACATTGGGCACATGATCATGACTTGCTGGTAAACAGTCTTCAGTGTCCCTGACATAAGGTAAACATTGGGCACATGATCATGACTTGCTGGTAAACAGTCTGTTGAGATGGATGTCAGCACAGGTGTAATCCAAGGTTCACTTAGTCTTCAGAGGTGATGCATTTCATTTTCTACTTGGCAGTTCAGTCTCTAGTTGTCAGTTCAGCTTTTAGTTTGACAATCAGTTAGGCAGACCAGCCTACAGTTTCGGTCTCCAGCCTTTAGTTTGACAATCAGTTTAACAGTTCAACCTTAAAAGAATTAATTCATGACCTTAAATGGAAAAGGATCCATTTTGGGGCTGTGGTTAAAGATGAAGACCATGTAAATAAAACCATGTGTACAAGAAAAGCTTGAAGTCTCTGGAATGATATCAATTTGGCTGTGTTTATTTTCAGCACCCCTCGTTCTCGTGACAACACCAGCATCTCAGATTCCTCCCAGACAGACAGTGACTCATGCGGCTCCCCACTCATCACAAGGTCAAAGCCTTCAATCAAAAACATCATACCCCGACTTGCCATCTCCTCAGAAGAGGAGAGGTCATGTGGCTCCAAAGGTCAGTGGTGAAAATATTCATGGGTAAAAGGTCGGTGACATGATTTTGAATAACTGTGATATCCTGTTAGCTTAATACTAATGAAATTTGAACCATATAGTATTATTAGTTTTTCATGGGTTTTTATATATCTATATACATATACAATATATTTCATAGACATAGATCTTGCAGTTGAAAATGCGTGCAATAAATTTTTGTCTTTGTATATATCTAACTTAGAATTATTTAATATGACTGATAATTCCCCACTGGTCAGATCAGGTTCACAGAACCCTATGCTTAAATCGTGTTGAAGCCTGAGCCTGTATTTGGAAAGAGTGACAAATCTATGTATCAGATGGTCAGGTCACCTTACTGACTTGCAATAGGATAATTGCACATCCCAATTGCATGGATCTATGTTGATGTCAAACACTGGATTACCTCTGAATTTACAGAAATGAGAATTTTCCGCGGAATTCCGGGAATTTTGTAAGGCCAAGGGTCATTTTCGTGAATCGTCTAAATCCGTTGCCCCAAGACCCCTGGCTAGTTTTCACAGTTTTTCTCAAAACTTCATTCTCATCCCTGAATAAAGCAAAATGCCTCTTTTTTTCAACAAAAGTACTGATGTTGGCTTTTCACCTACCATGGATACTTAGTTTGGAATCCTAGATGCCCGGTGTAACAGGCCAAACTTTCCCCCTGGCCAAACTTTCCCCGGGGTAAGAATGTCCTAGAGGTAAGAATGTCCGCCTAGGCCAGATTCTCACCTGGGAAACTTTAGGCCGGGGAAGAAATGGCCTGCTACACTGGTAGATCATTGCCCTGTGTACCAGTGGCTTACCTGGACCGAGCTGAAGTATTTTTACGCCACTGTGATACAGCTGCAATATTGCAACACCATCCTTGTCGGCTCATTTGACACCCTCCGACAAAGTTAATATTCCTGTATATGTTTGTAGAGCTGTCCCCGGTGGATGAGGCGAAGGAAAAGGTGGAGGACGTTGAGAGGAAGAAGCCAGCAGCAGGGACAGGGTCGGCAACGGAGAAGTGTGGCATGCAGAAGTCAGCATCCGCAACAGCACTCACCCTGCTCATACACTCAGGAGGTAGGTGTCGGCAAAGTGAGTGTTACCTATTATTTCCTTTATTTATAGTAAGAGTAATGTCAGTTCTGTAGTTTACTAGACTTTACTAGCTGTTATATGTCCACTTTCATGTTTGTATTCTGTGCTGAACACACATACACACACACACACAGTGCACACAGAGACAGTGTGCAAAATAGCCACTGGCCCGCTAGCCTGTGGCAAGTAAAAATCAGTCGGGCCAGTAAATCTTCACAGTCACTGGCCCCATTGCCTAGTGAATTTTCATGGGGTCATTTTGTAAATATATCACTCTCTGACATAAGTTATAATACACTTGTAAATCTCCCAAGATTATGGCCTGATAAAAATGTTTATCATATTAGCAGCTTAATGATGAAACCAGTGTCATGATGAGAATATCTTATTCTCATCTATTTTTGTAATCTTTTGCTTAGTTTCTACATTCATTTTTCGGGCTAGTAAATTATTTTGTGGGCTTGTAACTTTCAGCCATAGCTTGCCCGACTGGCTGGCAAAATTTAGAAACTATTTCGCACACTGCTCAGAGAGAGAGCACACAGAGCAAACACTCACAAACTCTCATACCACACACAGACACTTAAACACCACTCACTAACACACACATGCGCACACACACACACTCTGTATGTGTATGTAGACGTTTCCTTATTGTATAATGTATACATGTATAGTCAAGATTGTGTTGGTAAAGGTTAAACATGTGTGATATGTTGTTTTTGTATTTAATTGCTGAACAGTTTTACAACTCAAAATTTCAATTATTTGGTTATAACTTGATCCTTGAGTAATTTAAAACAGGAAGGGAATTTCTGATTGATTTGCCATCTGTTAGACACTCCTATCTATCTAATTTAATTCACCAAAAGGAATGACGTTTGAATCTACCATTTATGTTTTGACTGTAAATAAATTTGATTAAAGAGTAAAATCATTGTAATAACTATGACTGTATCTTGTATGTGACATCCTAATCATACCTGTCTCTCTCCCCAGACTTCAGCATTCCAACGTCAGTTGCCTCCCCTGGAGGGTCAGGATCCAGCACCAGCTCTCGTGATGGCTCCCCAACCGTGACTCCTCCCCCATAGCGCGCAGCCTCAAGCCACCGGTCGTCGTCAAAAGGGGTGCTCGTGGATTTGGGTTTAACTTCCAGTCTATCCGTGTGTACATCGGCAGTACTGATGTCTACACCATTCAACACATCGTCACGGTGGGTAAATTCACTGTCAAGGGTGGATTGTTAGGGGATTTGAAATTTCATCTCTGTTCACAAAGCAAATCACAAAAAGTTATTTTCTTCTGCAGGAAAAAATCTGCACAAATGTTTCCAAATGGGCTGTAGTTGAGGCATGTATAACTATTGATGGGGATATTTGGTAGAGGTGTACCAATACAGTGGAGCCATAGAGTAGCTGTGATAAGTTTGCAGACCCAGTACATTCGATTTATTGTTAAAACGCCACAAATATCCACAGTACTCTAGAAACAAAGATATACCATCCCACATACTTTTCAGACTAGAGCAAATACACCCTTTGTCTGGTATTCTTCCCATGTAATGAAGACACAGGAATAGTCAGACTGTTGTCAGTCTATGAATGAAAGTGTTGAACAGCAGAGCTTGTTTGTCAATAAATATGTCGAGACGAGGTTCATCATTCTGCTGACCCGTGAAGATCCGGGGTAGAATAGGTTTTCAGCAACCCATGCTTGCCATAAAAGGCAACTATGCTTGTCGTAAGAGGCGACTAACGGGATCGGGTGGTCAGGTTTGCTGACGTGGTTGACACTTGTCATCCAGTGTGCGAAGTAGTTTCCTATGCCTGAAAGTTACTAGCCGCAACATTATTCCCAAGCCCGAAATCTGAATGTAGCAACTAAGCAATATATTGTCAGCATGACACAGGTTTCATCATTAAGCTGCTAATATGATATACATTTTGTATCAGGCTATAATCTTGCATAAATTTAAAAGGGTATTATGACGTAGCAAGTCGGAGAGAGTGATATAATTACAAAATGAACCCATGAAAAATCACTAGCCAGTCGGGCCAGTGACTAGGGAGATTTACTGGCCTGACCGGATTTTTACTAGCCACGGGCTAGCGGGCCAGTGGCTATTTGGAACACTGATGTCATCGGTTCCCAATTGCGTAGATCGATGCTCATGCTGTTGATCACTGGACTGTCTGGTCCAAACTCGATTATTTACAGACCGCCACCATATAGCTGGAATGTTGTTGAGTGCTGCCTAAAACTAAACTCACTCACTCATCATTCTGCTCGACAAGCATGTTTTTAATGTGGAGGTGTATATTTTGGGAGAATAACGCTTTCGTTATAACCATGTCAAATCAATTTCTAGGTCTTTCTTTGTCAGATGTAACAACTGAAATTAATGAAAGGTGTATGTTTGTTACAGGATGTGATCATCAACAGTCCAGCTTTTGAGGCAGGACTCCGGCCCGGTGACTTGATCACCCACATCAACGACACTCTAGTGGAGAACCTGTTCCACACTCAGGTGGTGCAGCTCATGAGCAGCGGCAATGTCTTCTACATCCGCAGCACACCCATCGAGAACACATCCATCAGAACCGGTGCTCGAAAGAAGGGGTCGCATCCAGGAAAGATGGCGAGAAGATCGTTGAAGAAGAGACAGCGAGACAAGGGCGATAAGAAGAAGACCGGGAGGTCGCTCCTGAGACGACTCAGCTCCAAGAAAGCAGAAGGTCACATGGTTCATCCTGGTTCGCCAGGAACACCATCCCGGGCTCTCGGAGGATTCCGAGCTCATTCATCCAGTGAATGCACCCCTCCTCCCAAGTCGGGGCGATCGCCTCCACTCACAATTCCCTGGACTCCAGACACTTCAGCCAATATGAGCTCCAATAGTAGCTCCCCTGGCTCCAGTGCTCCAAACTCCCCGGCCAACACTGCTCACTTTGGCCGACCCAGCTCCCTTCATGTTGTCAACAAGCATAAGAAGTCACAGAGCCTCAAATCTCCTCACAGGAGAAAGTCAGTTCATAATATTCCCCTCTCACCCCTTGCTCGCACCCCCTCCCCTTCCCCCCTTGCCTCCTCCCCAGCACGCAGCCCCTCCCCCCTAGCATGTGTTCATGGCCACCAGGTGGGAAGCTCAAACATGCCTCAGCAGACCATCCCCTCCTACCTGAACCCCACAAGCGGAGGGCAGCCCTCCACCCCGACCATGAAGAAAACCCTGACCCGGCCGAAGAGCTGTGAGCCTAGTTCCCCGTTACTGAGGAGGGCGTTGTCCCCTGACAGGCTGCACCCAAGTTCTGCTGAAAAACTGCCCGTCCAGAGGAAAGCTTCCCTTCAGGAGAGGAAAAACACTCTAGATTTGTAATCTATTTTACTGTTAACTAGTATGTTGTTTCAAAGGTGCTTATTAACTGTGGTTAACTGTGGTGGTACATTCGCGAGAGACTGTGTATTATTCCAATATTTTCAACATGGAGTGTATTCTACTGTCCGAAACCAAACCAAACCACAAGCTTGTCGCAGCCGCTGTTCATATGAAGTGCTGGGAGTTCTTAAGAGGATTGGAGACACGACCATGTCGGCATGGTCCAGACATGACCATGATGGCATGGTCCTGCTTGTACAGTGGAGATATATTTTGTATAAGGTGTATATAATCTGAAGGCAAAGACCTCGAGGAGTCCCCCTTGACTGGATGGGACTGGGTATTGGATGCAATGATGTGCTGGACACTCAACTTCTGCAAGTGCTTGAGATGTAAATTATTTTCTTCTCGAAGGATTGTCACTGTGGCCAAACATTCCAAAAGAGTCTTTAGAATTATATCCTGCAGGTCTTTGCTCATGTGAATTGGTCGACCATTTTGAAGACGCTTTGAAGGAATATCAACGTTCTTGTGTAGAAGCAGGTGTTGACCTTGACAAATCAAATGTGATAGTCCAGTGCTGGATAGGATTTTTTAACAGATCGAGCGGGAATAGAAACTGAATGTGTGTATTGCTTGGACTTCCTGTACAAGCTGACGTAGTTGACATTATCTTGATCTCAGTGGCGTATGTGCATCGGACATTTTCATTGGTCAGCTTGCCATCATACGGAGTAACGTTGTCTGTGATTGGTCAGCAAGGTATCTATATCATGTTGTCTCATTCAAATGCTAACAACAAGCATATTTAGTAATTAAAATGTTTTTTGACAGTGAGTTTCCATTGCAAGAAAATATGATTTAAGTTAACTGGTAGCACTGTTTTAAATGATATTTGTGTCCTCACTTTTTAGCAGAATAACATTTGTTGAAGAGAATTTAGAGTGATTTTGTTAATGCTGAATCGGCTATTTTAATTAACATCATGTAGACAGAAAAATGTTGATAGATGAAAAATTTGAAATCGTTCATATTAATAGGTATTCTTGTTTCTTCAGCTCCTTTATGTACACTGCTTCAATCTCCCTGTCTCACTTAATCCATAATTGTATACTTTGTAAATCTGCTGTTCATAATCTACGTACCGTTTGATTGGCTTGCAGCTGAAGAAAAGCACAAATTAAGTCATAATTGTTTGATATGCGTAATATGATAAGGCTGCCATGAAATGTTACAACATTTCTCGAACTGTATACATACTGTGAATATTGTAAATCCTTTGTAAAGTGCTTGTAAGTATGTCATTTGTATAGAAAACATTACACCACTTGGCTTTGATTTAAAAGTATATGTCGTTTTTTTTTTATCAAGGAACTATATTGTGTCAAAATATTTTTTCAACTTCAGTCTTATTTATGACTTGATGTTTTAATGTGTTTGGTGCTGATCGTTCTCCTTTCATGACTGTTTATGTCAGGTTCAAAAGTCATGTTTTTGAGACTTAAAATCACATTTCATAATCGTTGTGGTTCTGGTTTGAAGGTGTGTGAGTGTATGGTATCGATGTGTAGGGAAATGACAGCTGGGAGATGAAAGATACATGCAGACAACTCAATATGTGTTAAAGAATACCTGGGTGCCCCTGTACAAAGCAACCTTAGTGCTACGGCAGTCACAAGTTGATGTTAAGGTATGGGAGTTACGATCACCTTAGCGCTAAGACTGTCAGAAGTCCATGTTAAGGTATGGGAGTTACGATCACCTTAGCGCTAAAACTGTCACAAGTCCATGTTAAGTTCTGGGAGTTAAGATCACCTTAGCGCTAAGACTGTCAGAAGTCCATGTTAAGTTCTGGGAGTTACGATCACCTTATCGCTAAGACTGTCACAAGTCTATGTTAAGGTATGGGAGTTACGATCACCTTAACGCTAAGACTGTCACAAGTCCATGTTAAGGTCTGGGAGTTACGATCACTAAGACTGTCAAGTCCATGTTAGCGCTAAGACTGTCACAAGTCTATGTTAAGGTATGGGAGTTAAGATCACCTTAGCGCTAAGACTGTCACAAGTCTATGTTAAGGTATGGGAGTTAAGATCACCTTATCGCTAAGACTGTCACAAGTCTATGTTAAGGTATGGGAGTTACGATCACCTTAGCGCTAAGATTGCTTTGCACAACAGCACCCTGAACACTGGCTTACAACTTCAGTGAATCTCTCCGGAATGCAGATTAACTTTAGTTGTATGAAGAATTCATATGTTTGAAATCTTTAGAGTATTATATACAAGTATTGAAAGGTTAGGTTTATTCAAGTGAATACCAAAATATACAGGATAACATCTCTTTGAACTACTGATGGTGTGCCTGGTTAATGTTTTTGTTGATGTTTTTCATTACTTATTACACTTGTTTAGTTGATACTCATGTATATGTGTTAAATGCTCTAGGTTACTTGATTAAGATGTCAAAAATGTTCAGATACCATGTAGAGTTTTACTATATCTTTCGTCCCACGGTATGGCAGAATGTACTTATTATATAATATTCAAATTGTGTTAGCAGAGCTAGACCTTTGAAAGTGTTTATTAATCTGTGTATCATGTTTTAAAGAACATTTTTGGGGTTGGGGAAACAACTTTCGAAAATATGGGAGTGTGTATGTGGTCCCAGCTGTGTGCAGCTGTAGTGTGTATGTGGTCTCGGCTGTAGTGTGTGTATGTGGTCCCAGCTGTAGTGTGTATGTGGTCCCAGCTGTGTGCAGCTGTAGTGTGTATGGGGTCTCGCTGTAGTGTGTGTATGGGGTCCCAGCTGTAGTGTGTATGTGGTCTCAGCTGTGTGCAGCTGTAGTGTGTATGTGGTTCCAGCTGTAGTGAGTGTGGTCCGAGCTGTAGTGTGTATGTGGTCGCAGCTGTAGTGTGTATGTGGTCTCGGCTGAAGTGTGTATGTGGTTCCAGCTGTAGTGTGTATGTGGTCGCAGCTGTAGTGTATGTGGTCTCGGCTGTAGTGTGTATGTGGTCCGCGGCTGTAGTGTGTATGTGGTCTCGGCTGTAGTGTGTATGTGGTTCCAGCTGTAGTGTGTATGTGGTTCCAGCTGTAGTGTGTATGTGGTCTCAGCTGTAGTGTGTGTGTATGTGGTCTCAGCTGTGGTGTGTATGTGGTCGCAGCTGTAGGCTACACAGTGTGTCCCAGCTGTGTATAGGTGGAATGAGAGAATATGGATGTGTTTGACATTTATCTTATCGGGAACCCCATCAGTATTCATTGAATGTCTGAACTGTGATCTGTGCATCTCTGATCTACTAGTATATATAGTCATCTAGAAGTTCACTCCTCGTTCTTTTTTGGTCACAGTGTTTGATGATATTTATTATTAAGCGTTTGGATTCTGAGTCTTCTTTTAGCAAGAACCACTAGTTTTGTCAGCTAAATTGTTCTCTGTAAGGTTGCAAACTGTTGCTTTCTGTTTACCATTGGCTATAGGTTTCAACCAATGGAAAATGCAAGTTCTGATGCGGGATACACGATGTATTTGATGTTGTAGAAATTCGTCCCGTGGTCATTGCGGACGTTCACTTTGCTTATTTATGATATTTGACATGTCTTTCAAGCAAATCAGTCACTGCCATGGTTTCCTGTTGTGAGGCCATTTTACACGGTGGAAGTTTGGAGTAGGGGAAATAAAAGTTCCCGAAATTTGGAGGTTTTTTTTGGTTTTAGTTTTATGGCCAGGTTTCATTTTAGAATTGGTACGAAATACCATAGGTGATGGCATTTTAGTTTATATGTAAAGAATATAAGACAATTCTGAGGTCTTGGTCGTCATAGTGATGCCCAAGGGAAGTAATGATCAAGGTAGAAAGTCAGTATTTGTCGTAAAATATACAAGGTTACTGTTGCCTGAAGGTTTTGCTGTGTCAAAGAGAAGAAAGGAGAGGTGTTTTATCCAACTTGTTAACTATCAAAACGTGATGTAATAATATTTGTTTAATTCTGTGTATATTATGATTCTCTAAAGTAATTCTTGTTGAATATATGTGGCTTGGCAATATCTGCTAAACAAGATGCCCTCTGGTGAATGAACTATCTTAACCAGCTCTGTGGGCTAATGGTGACAGTGCTTGACTATCGATCAGGAGGTTCTAGGCTCGACTCTCGTCATCCATGATAAAAAAGTTTCATTTCTTGTCTTCGATATTAGAACTTTGTAGGGCTGAGACGGTATACCGCGGTATTAGTAGAACCGCAGTATTTTGCCTTTGGCTTCGTATACCATAATGTAATCTCAAAATTAAGCATTTTCGGTTATCATACCATTCCTTCTGTCAAGGGGGCAGTGGGGTAGCCTAGTGGTTAAAGCATTCGTTCGTCATGCCGAAGACCCGGGTTCAATCCCCACATGGGTACAATGTGTGAAGCCCATTTCTGGTGTCGCCCAAAAGCTAACATTATTTTTTCCATGTTATCAAACATTGTCTGGTTTGGCTCTTGTAAATTTTCTGCATTGTGATCATATTTCATGTACTGAACCGAAACGGACCGAACCGAAGGCCCTGTATCGCAATAAGTACCGTACCATGGTAAGAGCGTACCGTTTCACCTCTATAACTTTTGACATAGAGCTTTTGTGCCCATCAAGACTTCATAGTCAGTCTTGATATGCAGAAGTTAAAACATACGTCGAAAGAGGTATAAAGAAAGCATAATCCATCTTACATGTTACAAAATTAGGTCTTGCCCAATATAGTTTTCAGTATCAGTGATAAGTTATATTTGAATGTAAACCTGAATACAAATCCTACCTTGTTAGGATGAGAAAGCCACAATAACTCGGTGCGCCTAGTGGCTGCAAGAGTTGTATACTCCCCAGGGAGTTGAGATTGATAATACGATGTGCCGTGCCGTGCTGTGGAGACTGACATCCAATGATCGAGGGGAAAAATACCAGCGCCTTGAGCATGCACTAGTTGCCTGGATATGTGCACTATATAATGCATTATCCTATAATAATAAACGTCAGTTGCCATTCAAATCCTCAACACCTGTTCTTTGTGACAAGAGTGGAAGTATACGTTCAATTTTAGTTTCATTCATCTGTAATTTTCAAGGAGGTATTTGTTTATATACAGCTAAAAAATTGGTAAGGATCAAACTAGTCATCTTTAGTGAAAGTTTCTTCAGCAAAGGTTGAGTGATATTTTAACAGATCTTTTTTCTAAGCTACATTTAGTGACCTGACCAGTGTGAGATGGCCTGACAAGGGGAGACAACCATCATTCTTGTACACTGTTATTGCCACTGATAGGTTCATAGTTCATCATGTTTCATGTCTTTCATTACATACGCCCCTGTTCATGTCGCCACCATGGGTTTTTTCAGTTGGTCTGATCAGTGTTAATGAGATATGTATTTCAATTCCATGTATTCACTCAAGCTGTGTATTTTGGATCAGGTGTTAGTAATTTTTTACTGGATTTTTCTATTGTGTTTCATGTGAAGGAGAGTTTGTAATTTGGGTATTTGTTCCCTAGACCAGGTTTGTCAACTCACTGTAGATATTCTAGACAAATCTACGTCAGTAAGATATGTAGCAATGCTTCAGTGTCGGTTGTTACAGTTTCATCAGTGAGAAGTAAAATGAATTTTGCTCTTTTTCCTGCAATGAATTGTTTATTTTTCCTATGTTTAGAACATAGTTATTTGTGTTTGGTTAGTTTGGGTTTGGAAATTTCAACTTATATCAAGTAAAGGATGAGTGTTTATTGAGCATCCATGTGATGGGCAGGGAGAAAGATTTCCTTTCTTCGTAAGTGAACCTGTAGCATTTTAGTGATCTTCAGCGTCACATTAAGTGATGTTTTAGATTGACTTATGATGAAAGTAAGCCAGAGAAATCATGGCCTGCCCAAGATGTGCTATGTTGAGTATTAATTGTACTGAGAAATGGCATAAAACTCTGACCTTGGTCACTCGATGACAACAATAACAGTAGCAATTACATTAAAGAATTCAGTTTCAGAGTGAAATGTAATGAAGATTAGCAACAATACAAGTGTTATATTTTCTTAATATATGATTATCATTGGATATTTTTGGTTTGGGGTATTTAAGCTTGGAATTCATTTTATAGGTTAATAATTGTTTATTGTCTCAATTGAAAAACTATAGGGGTGATAAGTGACACATTTAGGAAATTCGGGGGATTAATACATTCAAAATCTCATTTTCGTCTTTTGTAATTTTAATTTCCTCCATGTATATTATTCTTATTGTACATTGTAAATAACACGCTTATTGCCAGTGTTGTCGCAAATCACTGGCCTTGTATGAATTTTGTATAAAAATGTGTATAGAAATTGACGAGTTGTATATAACATTGTTGCTGCCTATCTTTGGCATGTCATTGACACTGATTTCCTCGCTGCCACTGGAACATCGCTCCGTCATTAAACTGTGTTGTTAATATCATTGACATGCTTTGTCTGTTATCTTTTGCCATGATCGTCAGCTGATCATGCACTTTGGTTGGGTTGGTGTTTGACCCGTGAAGATCCGGGTTAGAATTGATCTTTAGTAACCCATGCTTGTTGTAAGAGGCGACTAACGGGATCGGGTTGTCAGACTCGCTGACTTGGTTGACACATGTCATCGGTTCCAAATGTGCAGATTGATGCTCATGTTGTTGATCATTGGATTGTCTAGTCCAGACTCGATTATTTACAGACTGCTGCCATATAGCCGGAATATTGCTGACTGGGGCTTAAGCTAAACTCAGTCACTCATTGTTTGGTGTTTAACACCACACTCAGCTTCATTTCGTTATCCCACCGGCATGTAATGCGGTAGGATACAGTCGTCGCCTCGTCTGTCTGTCCGTCCGTCCGTCATCATTTTGTTTCCGGAGCATAACTCAAAGACCGTTCGATATTTTTCAACAAAACTTTGTAGATATGTCAAACATAACCCAAGGTGGTGCCTTTTGCTATTTACAGATTAGTGTCATTTTTATTTTTCTTGGTTTCCATGGAAACGTTTTGGACTTAGTCCCAAAAGTGAGGGGTGGGCTTCGTTTTCTGAGCATAACTCAAAAACCGTTCAATATTTTTCAACAAAACTTGGTAGATATATTAAACAGAACCTTAAATGGTGCCTTTTGCTATTTGCAGATTTTTGGCATTTTTATTTTTCCCGGTTTCCATGGAAACAATTCGGACTTAGTCTCAAAAGGGAGGGGTGGGTTTCGTTTCAAAAACTTCTTAATATCTTTCAGTAAAACTTGCCAGTTATGTGAGGCAGATCTTGAAGTGCTGCCTTTTGCTATTTGCAGATTTTTGTCATTTATGTTTTTCATCATTTCCATGGAAACGATTTGCACTTAGTGTAAAATCAAACTGGACTTTAAGTAACTGTCAGATGATTTGTTCTTTCAAGATGTGGGGGCTGGGGGGATATGTCATCTTCTGATGACTCTTGTTTAATTCTGCAGACAGCAACTTATCACATATATGACGGTAGTCTGTAAATGATTAAGTCTGGACCAGACAGTCCAGTGATTGATATCAAGAGCATAGAGAATACTACACGAGGTCTCATTACATACGAATTATACGAAACGAATGTCCTTCCTATGGTATCTGACCGAGCGAAAGCAAGGTCAGATAACATAGGAAGGTCACGAGTTTCGTATAATTCGTATGTATTGAGACCGAGTGTGGTATTTTATTTATTACCCACGTCTTACATGCATTAAATTGACAAAATAGCGTATTTTTGTTAATATTTTGGTTTCAAACCGAAACCGGTTTCATAAAGAGGTTGCGGAAGAGTTTTGTACTGTAGTACAATATTTGCATGACGTCACACTGTAATGACGTCACTGCCTTGGTAACCGACGTCACGATGCATGTCAGTTGTCATCGCCTCGTACAGCCTCCTACAGTAAACTACTCCGTAGCACCTCGTTTCTTGGTTTGCAGTTGCTTCATTCGGCTAACATCACTGGTGGAAACATTGCGTTTACTTTTTTCGACGGATATAATGTCTCAGTTCGACTCACAATTAAACAGCGACACGGCAACGTTCGCGATGTTTACATTCCCACAATGCATTTAAGTTGTAGAATGAATGAATTCACGTGTTTGTTATGAATGAAAAAATAGTTACGTCAGAATGTGACCTAATTGAGAGGTCATCGGTTATCCAATCAAATCGTTAGAATTTCAGGTCAAGTCGTTACGACACAGGTCAACGCGATACGACACTCGTGTGACGTACGAGATTAATATGCAACTACTCATACGTTGACCACGTGGGTAATAAATCAATGTACGCAATGGTGATACAGTGAAATGCATCAACCAAACTAGTGAGCCTACCATCTGATCCTGTATATAGCTTCATACAACGAACATGGGTTACTGAAAACCAATTCTGACCCAGATCTTCACCGATCTCTCAGCTCCATGACTGCATTCCTTTAAAGGTCACATGCAACCAAAAAATCAAACATAATTAAAACACAATTATCACTTCTTCATGACATATAATATGCATTGCTGATAATGAAAAAACAAATAAACAAAATTATAAGCATATAATCGCAAATCAAAAGTGCAATATTTTGTACTTGGGTTTACCTCCCTCGAAACGAAGCAGCCGGGATACCGAACCCAGTCAGAGCGGGTGGGTGTGCACTCAAGTGTAACGTCTGGTTCATTTGCAGATGCCGCCCTCACAGCTCATTATGTGTGTATATAGAGAGATGTTGGGTTTTGTAAAAACATGCTCATTTTTTGTGTATAACATTTTGCAATCAACAGACATCATAACATGTCATGTGTTCAAGTATCACACCTGCCTGTCTGTGTAATTACATAATGTGACAGAGACTGAACTCGGGCCATAAATCAATGCATTTTGTTTATGGTGTATAGCCTGATTGGTGTTAAGTTCAAATTGCATGTGGTCAGTGATAGCAGCTGTGTATTGAATATTGTCATTAGCAGGCAGGCAGGCAGACACACAGGTGTCAATAAAACAAGACATTGAGTTTAGTCTGTGACAACGACATATCTATATCACAGTTGGAAATTCTGTCAACGCTAAATAATGACATTGCTTTTAAGTATCGAACTGAGAAAGTGACTCGGTAAGAAGAACGTGTGGTGAAATAGACAAATGAAATTATATAAACAGTTAATTTACTGTCATAACATATAAAAAAGCTCGCGCCTGTGAGATATCAACAAAACATTAGAAAAATAGCTCACACCAAAGCCTTCACCGAGTATTCACCGGACAACCGCTTCCAAGCTGCGCGAACCTACTTCACTGCGCACGTGCTATAAGCGCAGCCCAGCTGTTGAAACCCGTTTTCCCCAGAAAAGTCTGGGGAAAATTAGTGAAACGTTTGAACTCCGATTTCGCGCGTTTTTTTTCATCGCGTTATTTTTCAACTTTATAAGTTGAATTTGCATTTTTTGACGCTTTGTTTCGGTAAGTCCATACCGAAAGGTATCAGAATCTGCAAAATTGTGTTTTACGTTGCATGTGACCTTTAATAATCCAGTCTGGAGCGTACAATGTAGTGATTGACATAATAAGCATCGATCTACACTGATACAATGACATACATACCAACCAAGTCAACAATCCTTCCAGGTTTTGCCTGCCCAGTCCTGTAAATGGCCTAGTGTGACACCTATTCTGAAGACTCATTCCAACCCAGATGATCACAGACAGACCGATAGTTTATTAAAGTCTCACCTCACAAGCGCATAGTCACAATACACAATACAAGTACAATACAACAGTGAGCCACCCTTTCTGGGTTACCAGAGACTATTAGCTAAGAAAATATACACACAATATGAAAACTATATACACATAGAAGTTAATATTACTATAATAACGAAGAACAATATCAGTAAGATATCATAAAGTATATGTATACATACACAATATAAAACCACTGCCTATTACCATATAAACTTTGTTTCCGTTTCTGAAGTAAAAGCTTGCAAGTTTAAATAAAAAAACAATATTAGGATTGGCTAAGATGAAACTAACTTTCTGTATATCTGTAAAATCATTAAAATTATCACAGCTATTTCAACATTTACTAAGGAGGGTAAAACGTATATCATTATAAAGGGGGCTGTGTAGTAAAACATGGAATATTTAAACTTATCCTATCTCCTGACTTGCTCCTCTCTCTGTTGCTTCGACTTTTAGTGGAACGACTGTAAACTTTTTTCCATAGGCCTTCTTGTTCATTCGCCCGTGCACTCCATGCTGCTCTCCTTAATTAGCTTCCTAGTTCCTAATAAAGCTTGCAGCATGCTCCACTAATTGCCCACGTGACTACCTTGAATGATCATTCTCTTTCTTGTCGCACGACTGTGTGGACGTGCTGTATATTAGGGACATTATTTCACCTAACATCATGGGGAAAACAGATAATCAGTCAAGGAAAAGGAAAGTTTGTGCTCAATGCAAGACGACGGCTACGGAAGCGCCTCTTCATACCCTTGTCGAACGCTTCAAGAACTGAGGTTTCCGGGACCACATTGGCCTTCTGGATGCGTGCCACGATCCTGCGAGCCTACACCTTTGCAGGGTTGCCTCCTCCAGCCGCTTCCAATCCTCATGAGACTCGTGCACTAGCCTCGACGATGGCCCTCCATAGCAACTGCTTCTTGACCGCTTTCATGGAAGGTTGCTTCTGGCGTTCTGATACAGTCTTCTCTTCACATTACCTGCAAACCTGTCTGTCACGGATGTCCAGGGACTACACCAGTTCGGACCTCTTGTACTAGCTGGCTCAGCAGCTTACATCGGCCCAACAACGCAGATGAGAGACGGTTCCGCATTCGCGTTACTGCTTCCTTGTATATACTGAATAAAAGTTGAACTGGATCTCAACCTTTTGTTCTCATGATATGGGTTTAAGAACTACTTCACTTGGCCTCCATACCAAGGCATCGGAATACGGCCACCTAGCGTGGCTCTACGGACCTGAGGCACAATCAGTATGACGATGCAGAGGTGTTCAACATTCACGCTTACTGACCTCTACTCCACGGAGCAATTACGTCAGTGAAGTGTGACTATCCCTAATTCCAGTGGATTTCGTTGCGTTCTGCCTACAAAGTTGCCGGGCACATCCTTTGACTAAGCTTAGGCAAAGGAGTGAGGGTCAATTTGATGCTGCCCGGAACTGAAAGTTAAACGATGCCGAGTTGTGTTTCTCTTTCACCCGCCTTGGTCGGTGTCTGGTGGGCCTTCTTGAAGCAGGGGCTGGCCCGATTCTAGTCGCAAGACTTTAATTACGGGGGTACCTTGTAAATCATGGTGAGGCGAGGCTTACTTGCCGAGTTGCGTCCCTGTCTTGTACAAGGTTGCGGCCGAACACCACATCGCTCGGGAGCACCCATCTCCCTGGGAGTCGTTATGCTTAGTAAGCCAAGGGGT